GGACCTCCAAATGATTGCACCACGAGCACACCTTTTTTTTGGCTGGAACTCTGATTTTCATGCACTTGAGGCAGTTCGATCAATCACAAGGTTGCTTGGATCGATTAAACTATGGCGGCGCACTTTGGATAATGACAAAGCTGAGATATTTTTGGGAAAAAGACAAAAGTGGTAGGTGAGGATAAGATCAAAAGTGTTTGATCGATCGAAGGAAAGGTTTGATCGATCGAAAAGGAAATTTTCCTAAAGATAAGAACAAAAGGCTCGATCCATCATGGGATGGTTGGAACGATCACAGTGTGATCGATCAGAGCTTGGTTCGATCGATTATAGAAGGTTTCTTCACCACTTTGCTTCCACTTTACTCATTTCTTCCACTAGGCTTGAGATTACTTCTTTTAATACTCTAATTCAGCTGAATTGACTTATTTTGGGGATAAGTGTCTGAAAAGGGAAATAACATGAAATTAGACTAAAACGGAAAAATAAGATAGAACAAGGTCTTAGGACATTCAAACTTAAGGGGTTTAAATGCGCACTTTTCAGTGCTTATCATTATGGCCATATTACTATTTTGTCTCTACTTAACTTTATTAATATTATCTATATATGTTATTTTATTGGAAATACTTGTACCTATCCTTATTGGAATGAGTTTGCGATTACTCTGTCATATTAGGATCAAAGTATTATTTTTCTTAACTTACCTTGATTAATAATATCTATCTCTATATATAATTATTAAATCCAGTTATTAAATAATGCCTAAATATGTTAATTTATTTTGTTTTGGCGGGAATATGTTTGAGCTTACTTTATCATATTAGGGTCGAATTACTATTTTTTCGTTAATTTTTCTTGATTAATAATAAATATATAAATAAATACGTTAACACATAAATATGTTAATTTGTTTTATATTTCTGGGAAGTACGTATAACTATCCTTATTGAAATGGTTTTTGTCATTAACTTACCTTGATAAATTTATGAATAAATACATTAGGTGAAATTTTGTTTTAGTCATTTTCATGATCATTTTCAAGTTAACCACAAAATTTGAAAATATGTTTTTAATTATTAAGAAGTTACTTATATATTACTTCTTTCACTATATATCTCTAAAAAAATTATCCATCTAGCAAACAAGACAATTAAGCCTGAAAATTGCTCGCATTTATTTTATCGCTAGTGTAGATGCACATGTGTTGCATGTGACATATATTAAAGATTAATAATAAATATATAATCAATGGCGAATCCAGGAATTATTAATAGGGGGGCTAATATTAAACAAGAGGGTATTGGGGATCGAAAGATTAAAGAGTTGCAAAATTTTAGAAAAAATAAGGTTAGACTTTAGAGGAAGAGATTGAGTGAGCTCTCTGATTTGTGCAAGATTAGGAATTTATGAATTTTCTGTACTTTGGCTTAGTGATTGTTTAGGGTTTGTTTGACTTGGGCCTATTTAGTTGGACATTTGTTTTAAAATTGTGACTTAGATATTGGGCTTGTTTGGATGGGTTAAAATTGGAAAGCTAATACTACTACTACTAATTTTTTTCTTTTTTAAAACATTGGGCTAAATATACCTATACTAAAAAAAAAAATTTTTTTTTGGGGGGGGGGCTTAAGCCCACCCAAGCCCCCCTTGAATCCGCCACTGTTAATATAATTAAATATTTATTTTGGTTATATTAAATAACACCTAATGTTAATTTATTTTGTTTTATCAGTGACCTAAACCTGTTTTTATTGGAATAAGTTTGAGATTATTTTGCCAGGTTAGGATCCAACTATTATTTTGTCGTTAACTTATCTTGATTAATAATAAATATATTAGCACCTAAGCATTATTAAAAATAAATATATCACTAAATATTAAATTCGGTTATTAAATAACACCTAAATATATTTTTTGTTGGAACCTTCCCTATAGCCATCATTATTGGAATGAGTTTGAGATTACTCTTTTAAGTTAGGGTCAATTCTTATTTTGTCATTAGCTTTCCTTCACTAATAATAAATATATAAATAAATATAGGGTGATGATATTAGCGATCCACAAAAACTTTAGGCGCTCCACTTCTATTATTTTATAATATATATATATATATATATATAACCCCAAACTTCTTAATTATCATAAAACTCTGTAATATCGCTATCTTCTCACTTTTTGAATTGCTTTCTTCGTCTTTTTATTTTTCATCCTTTGTCTTATCTCTCCTCTTTCTTCGTATCTCTCTTAAGAGTTAGATCTCATCAATATCACTGTGGGCAAAAGAAATAAAATGTCTCAATGTCTTTATTTTATTTTATTTTATTATGATTGTGATTGTCAATTTAGAAGGGAAAGAAAAAAAAAAAACTTAAACAAACAATTAGAGTTTTATCGATCATAAACTACAAAGTATAATGTTATAGGCCTCTGAACTTCCTATTAGATCAACACCTCTTTTGTTCCAATATTTTCTCATATTCGTCGTCAATGGCAATGGATGCATGATGCATTTGCTCCCCCATTCTTTCCCTCTAATTTTCCACCATTTATTTATTTATTATTATTTTTTTTTCAACTTTTATCCTAAATTTCTTCTGTCTATTCACATTATTTTAGGGAGATAAAAGTGATTTAGGATAAAAGTAATTCAGTTGTGAGGGTGCAGAAAAAACCGATCAAATTGACAAATTCAAACCGGACCGGACAGTTTGGTTTGCTAAGGGGTTGGTTCGGTCACGATTCCAAATTTGTAAAATCATAAAAATACGGTTTGGTCACGGGTTGAAGTCCAAATCACTTAGAAGTTACAATCCACTCTTAATTATCTTTATTAATTTATTAGATGATTCTTATTTTTTATTGATTTACAATGGTTAAATTTTATTGGTTTTATGAATTCTGGCTAAATGTTAGTTGTTAAATTAGAAATTTTGAATGTATTAAATTAGCAATTTTGAATGTATTCATTCCAATTCCAGAATTGACAGAAAATAACGAATTAAAATTTCTAAATATATTAACCGTGTTGAATGTGTTTGTTAACTTAGCAATTCTGAATGTAATCAAACATAAACGTATATACCTTTACAGTTATCAATGGAAGAAAGATAGAGAAATCGAGTAAAAAGGAGGAGAGATAATAGGGATAGAAAAATGTGTAGAAGGTTATTTTTATCATTTCAAGTATCAAAAAATGACAGTGTATGTGGTCTTTCGTGGAACGCTAATATCAACTCTTGTGTGTGAGCGCGTGTGTGTTAGCATCAAAAGATTAATAATAAATATTGAATTATGTTATTAAATAACACCGAAATATATTAATTTATTTTGTTTCATCGGGACGTATCTTATACCTATCCTTATTAGAATCAATCTTAAATTACTCTATTAGGCTAGGATCGAATTACTATTTTGTTGTTAACTTACCTTGATTAATAATAAATATATTAGCTTTTGTTTTGGTCATTTTCATAATAATTTTAAAGTTAACAACAAATTTTGAAAACCTTGTTTACTGATTATTAAAAATTACCTAGATTTTTATTTTTATTTTTTAAATTTAATTCAAATAATCTTAATTTTTTTCATTATATAGCTCTCAAAAAATCTGCATAAACAAGCTGTGCTATTATGCAAGACAATTAAGCTTGAAATGTACTCGTATTTATTTATTTTATTATTGTTGTATAGATGAACGTGGCATGCGAAAACCTCTAATTATTTGCTCTCCTCTTCTTCTTCTTTTTTTTATTTTTTTAATTTTTTAATTTTTTAATTGTTACATAGAGTAGTTTAGATCTCAATACACTATATGAGACTTTATTTTGGGAGTAATATTTCAATTATTTGCAAAGAAATACAATCAATATAACAACACATGCTCTACACATACAAAATCTTAACAGATAAACTGAAAAATCAAGTTATAGTTCCTAAATTATCCCAAGTGTTAGAACTAAAATTAACAACAAAATTAAATCAAACGGATACATATATATACAAAAAAAGGGCACCATCTCAATTCAAACAATCAATGCACCATCGTTTTTGAGGATCCAATATTTGTTTTATTTATTGTCTTAACAAATAACAATCATAGTGTTATTGAAAATATTTGAATCCTCCACCTTTATTTTAAACAAGAAGATATACTTATTAAACCATGTCTAAATTACAAATGTGTACGTTTAATGAATGAAATGTGTATACAAAACATACACATGTGATGAAAATAGAGAAATATGCACATATGATGAAAATAGAGAACTAACCATTCACATTCATTTCAAAACATGTATATGGATGAAATGTGCATACAAACATGCACATATGATGAAAATAGAGAACTAACCATTTACATTCAGTTCAAAGACATGTATATATATAATAAAATGTGCGTATAAACATGCACATGTGATGAAAGAGAGAAATAATCATTCAAATCGTGAAAAGTGAGAAATAATCATTCAAATTATTTTCAAGACTTGTATATTGTCAAATTTAAAAGATAAGAGATACCATTAGATTATGGTCTGGTTATAGGACTTAAACCTTCGTCTTTCACTTTAGACTACAAAAGTGTAAGTTTAATGAATGAAATATACTTATAAACACGTGCATGTGAGAGAGAAAAAGAGAGGGAGAGACATACTTGAATTCTCCTTTCTATTTTACAAGGCGATAAAATACTGTTAGGCTATCTCTGTTGATTAATAAATGTATATTTAGGTATACAAGTAACTCATACGTGTAATTCCAAGAGTATTTAGATTCCCAAAATATACCATTGTATAGTTCCACAAGTTCCTTACACAATATACAGTAACAAATTTGGTGAATTAAATTTGAGTCACTTCATGATTAACTTTTTATAGTTTTAAAGCTCATTCAACAATAACTATCAACGTAAATTTTAACTACTACTGTACATTTTAAGACATCAATAAATATTTTTATTTTAAAGTTTAACGAATGACAGTTCACCCTAATAAAAGACCTTAGAAAAAAGGTCAATAATAAAGGTTTAAAAGGAGCTCAACCAAAAAGAAAGAAAAACAAAAGGAAAAAAGAAAAGGAGAAAAAGAGTAAGAAGGAAAAAAAAAAAAACAAAGCCCTACACTCCCAAGACACTCCCATTTGCTCCCCTCCTTCCCCCTCTGCTCTCTCTCTTCTCATTCTCTCTCTAAACCTGGCATCAGATCAAATTCAAACCCCTCGCGAATCTACTCTTCCCATCTCCACCATTTCATTCATAAAAGCAATCACAGTTCATCTCCCAAACCTTCTCATCATTATCTCTATTTCTCTCGCTAAATTTTGCTCTCTCCCTCTATTTCTCTCTCTATATCATATCAGTATATCACACACATATATAGGCAGCTATATTTGCCCATACAAACATGAGCAGTGGAGCCAGGGTTTCAATTCCAAGCAGTGTTCGCAAGATGATCCAGAACATTAAGGAGATCACGGGCAATCACAGTGAAGAGGAGATATATGCAATGCTCAAAGAGTGTTCTATGGATCCTAACGAGACCGCCCAGAAGCTCCTCCTTCAGGGTTTGCTCTCTCTTTCCTTGCTTCTTCATTTCGTTGAGTTCTATGTGGTGTTTTTTTTGGGTTTGATCTTGATTTTTCATCATCACGGGTTGTGATCTGTGTTTGGTGGATTAATTGATTTAGTGTTCTTCAGCTTGGGACATGATTTGATATGTTTTCATTATAATGAATGGCTGGTTTCAGTGGATTAAATTGATGAGTTTTTACTGTTGATGTACTTTTTGTAGGGTTAAGCGTTACCTCTTATTTATTTATTTTTTTTCTTTCTAAAAAGGTGTCCTTTAGATTTTTTTTCCCCACAGCTGAAATTGGGTCATTTTTTATTTTTAAAAAATATTATTTTCAGGACTGCAAGTTGTTAAACTTTGGATAATCATATTCTCAATGTTGGATACAAGATTGGATTTTAGATATTATTTCACTATCGTGGTTGTAATGCTGGTTATATTTGTTTCGGATAATGTTACTCTTGTCAATAAACTTTACATCTTATGAACTCTTTAAGACTAGAAAACTGCCATAAGCTGTTGCAACTTGCAAGTGAGACTTTTTTCTTTGCTTAATTGCGAGTAAGACTTGTCTATCGTCCAAAAGTATGCTAAGCAGTGTGTTCAAAGTGGTAGTTGTGATAATTGGGGTTATTTTGCAGGTTTTGGTTAGTTGTCATCATCATGTTATAACTATAGCACTATACTACATTCGTGCAATTAAATTTGAATTGTTGACTTTAAAAGCTTGCTCTGGATTAGTTTTCCACATTTTTTTTTGCCTTTTTCCTCCGAGCTATTGGTTCCGCTTTGAGTGAACAGTTGTCAAGTGTTAATGGTTTTTCAGCTATAATCCCATCCCTTCCTGTTCCACTACCTCTCTCTGTCTCGCTACTAGTCAATCTGCAACTTCATTTTGTTATCTCCATTTAGATTGCTCATAAGTATTTCCATCTAGGATTAAGTGATGTATTTGATGGTCCTCCTCTATTTTTTGTTTTAATTTTATGATAACAAGTGTATATTTTGGTTTTACAGATACATTTCATGAGGTCAAAAGGAAACGCGACAGGAGGAAAGAGGTAAGATTATTCTACAAGTTGTCGGTGGAACCGTAAGTTGTGCAGTTCATATTGGTGAATGCACAAATTTCTTCCATTAGTACATCTGCTATAAAATTGCAAACACAGACACGTGTCTCATGCTTCCACATTGACATGAGATGTTGGACATGGCAATACCATGTCAAAAATCCTCTCACAGGGACTTGGCTATATGTGTTTGTGAATTTAGTAATTTTAGCATATATAATTTCTATGCCTAAGCATATATATGCATGTAGAAGAACCATAAAGCAATACAGTGATGAAAATATTAGCTTATAAGTTACTTAGAGAAGAGTATAAACCATTGTTCAGAAAAAACACCCTTGTACTTCAGTACTTGTTTTTTGGTTTGGGGAACTCCCTAGTGTTGGACATGACTTAGAATTGTGTGTCATGTCAGCTAATGTAACATTTTCTTTTTGGTAAATAACTAATTATCAATATGCCATTTGTCGACAGGAAGAAGTGTTCTATAGTGCATGTGGAATGCGACTTCAATTAAGAACTACAATTTTTTTTGGCCAAAATCGAAAATCACATTCTTGGACTTTATTTTTAGTAGTTAAAGTTCCTTGTTTGCTGATTTATTTGACACTAATAAATAGTCACGACAGCTTCATATTCTAAAAAGACCAGTTCACACTACTAGTCCTATGTGGGTGTTGGTATTGAAAGATTGGAGACAAACCTAACTTTTGTCATTATTTTGCACAAAGTCGTTGCTCTTAGGCTGTACCTTCTTCCGCAGGCTTGTTAGAATGATTTTTTGTTGCATCAATTTCATAGCCCCAATATGAGAATACATCAATTTCATAACATCAATTTCATCGCTGTTAATATTGTATTTATTTCTCATGTCCCTGCCCTTTACAGTGATTATTGTAGAGCCTTTTTCTTCCACCATTCTTTATTCTCCCAATCAACTATTAATTTTAGAATAAAGATTTAACATTTTTTCCTTCTCTTGTTATTATTGACCCACCTTCCTCAAAAGAACATGATCTTTTTAACTAGTGCAGTAGTGCTTGTTGTAGTCAATAACATTTCCTTTTCTCTTATTTATTATTTTTATTTTTTTGATATTAAATCTCACTGAAAGAGAATAATTTTCACCATTGTTTCAAAAGCAAAAAAATAAGTACAATACTTATAAAGTATTTTAATTAAGTGTCTATATTGTCTATATTCTTGCAGAATTCGAACAACAAAGAGTCTGCAGAATCAAGGTGGAAGCCTGGCATGCAGGGGCGAGGGAGTAGGGCTGGGCGGGGGAACTATTCACCTCGCTACACACCTCATGGTAAACCACTCTTTTGATGCCGCAATTGTTAAGGATTTATGTTCCCTGGATTTTCTCGCCTTTTAACTCAGAATTTGTTCATCTTGCATTTACTCATCACTTTTTGTTAAACATGATATTATCTAATTTCAGCTTTTTGCTGGATACAATAAAATTTTTAACATTTCCATATCATTCATATTTTTCATATATGTGCGTGTGTTTGTGTGTACATCAGCTGTTTTTGTTTCATATGCTTCTCTTGTCAGATGCTGCTGGTGGCAAAAATTCTAGTCCTGGAAAGGAAAATGGAATCAATCAAGTTTCAGAGAAGGGTGTTGGTATCTCATCCTTGCCTATCTCCCAGGAGACAAAAAATAAAGAAATCACTCCCAATGAAAGGTGACACTGCTTGCAATAGATTTTGTTCAATGTTTGTGTTAAGTTGCAACCTGATCTGACCCTCTTTGAAATTGTCAAGACCTTTTGCATCTAAACTATAGTTTTTAATCGTATGGGGTCCAATTATTTAGTAGCTACGCACCCTGATCTGACCCTCTTTAAAATTGTCAAGTCCTTTTGCATCTAAAATATAGTTTTTAATTGTATGCGGTCACTTATTTAGTAACTATACATTCTAATTTTTTGCAGCACTGTAACTGTCATGATCAATGGTCCCACTGGTGTAGTTTCTGGAAATACTGGTGTTGTACATGCTGCCCATTCATCCGCAGGAATTTTGGTGAACAAATCTGAAGAGAGTTGTCCACCACCACTTCCGCCCCCCCTTGATGCAAAGGAAAACTCCACCACTGATTTTGGAACAGGGGACACACATGGGCAGCTCACAGCAAGCTCAAGCAACAGCTCAGCTTCTATGAATCCAGCACAGCTGTCCGGAGAATATTTTTCAGTATCAGATCCAGTGCTGGTTCCATCTCAGGATTCACGGATCCCTGGTACTGCGGGTACAATTAAACGTGAAATGGGAAGCCAGCGAACTCCAGCGGAACATATTTCGGTTATCCCTGCAGAGAGCAAATCAACTGTCGGTTAGGACTTGGCAAATTTCATTTGGCTAGACATTCTTTTGCCTTGTGATGAAACAAACATATATTTGTTTTGCTGGAACAAAGTTTTTGATTTTGATTATTTTTTGTTGGATTGGTGTAGTAGGTTCTGATGTTTGTTTTGTTAATGATTGAAATAGAAGCTTCCGAGGTTCAAAGCTCCTTCATGCAAGGAAAGATGCCAAGCAAATCTCAGAGAATTATAAAGAATCAACTTTCAGAGTCTGCACAACCTACATCTTCTATTCATGTTGGCTCTTCTATTATTAAGCCTTCGTCTAATTACCATGGTCGGTCTCAACAAGCTATCGGACCTCAAAAAGGTACACATCTCTTATCTATTGATTTTATATTAAACAAGATCCTATATAACTTGTATGCTGTTGCTGTTTTTATTATGTTGGGTATCTTGGAGATGTTTGGAAGTGAACATGTCTTTTCTAGGATCCTCTATGAGGGTTTGAGTTAATATCTAAATAGTACAAATTGGGAAATTAGTAGCACATCACTTTACGATGAATATGACATCTTCCTCCACCTTGGTTATTTTATTGTTGCCCTCCTCCTCTGGTCATTTTTTTTAAAGTTCTCATAAATGCTAAAATGTGCTGAGCCATCTGAATCTTTTAGACATTGATCCAGTCCTGCATTCAATGGTACCTTTTTCTTGCCAGTCACATTTTCTGCTGAATTTTAAAGTTCATCCTGGGCACACATTTTGGCAAACAACTAAAAATTGAGACCCTCTTCCATCTTCAGCTATATACTCCGATTTTATCATAACTATGAAAGGAGAACATTTAAAAATTGATAGGAAAATACAGCTAAATACAGTAATGTGAGGAAGCTTAAGGGTACATTTAGTTTATTAAAGAAGGGAGTTAAACAGAATTCTAGTTAATATATTTTTCCTTTGTTTTGAGTCTAGTTAATATATGATTCCTTTGCTTTACCATATTTTAATGTCATACACAAGGTCCATAAACAGTTAATGATTCCTTTGTTTTCCACAGTTGGCCCTAGTAAGGAGTGGAAACCGAAGCCAACAAACCCTAATCCTGCTCTAGGATCTCAAGCAGCTTGTTCATCTGAGGTCCCCACTACAGTGGAAACTAGTACTGAGTCACATTCTGTATTGGGCGTCCTTGATACAAAGGAAACCACTGCAAAACTGCATAGGAAGCTAGATGAGTTACATATTTCAGATACTCAACATGTTATCATCCCAAATCATATACATGTCCCAGAAGCTGAAAAACTTGGATTCTGTTTTGGAAGTTTTGATGCTAGTTTTGGCTTAAGCACAAGCTATAACAATCATCCCGACACTGATAAGAGCCCTACGCCTCTTTCTGAAACTTCTGAGGGGATTGAAGAAACTGTGGAGCAGTCCTCAAGGTTTGTGATAGTGTATATATATTTTCTATTTGCTGATTAAGGTTTGATGCTTGGTAATTATGTGCTAAGAGCCTAGGACAATGGATTTATTTATTTATTTTTCTCATTTGAGCTAGGAAATACTGAATAACCTTCACTTGTCTCGTGGGATGTAAGAAACCATGGGGGAAGAGTTCTAAATATTTTAAAAATTAGAATTCCATCATTTCCGGATTCTTTGTTTTTGGTTCTGTCAAAGACAAGGAATATTGTTACTCCTTTGTATTTTAGATGGGCTGTTGAGAATAAAAATCCCTTGTCGTAGTGATTGCTATTAGCAGTACTTATAAATTATCATTATTTGGTAATTAAGAAAACCCTTGTCATCATCATGAAGCTTGTATGCTTGCTGGTACATGATCTACTCATTAGTCTTTTCTATTGGCTGTCAAGAATAAATATCCCTTGCCATAACAATAATATTAGCAGTAGTTATTAACTAATATTTTATCAATTACTAAAGTTGTTGTCATGATGAGGAAATTTCAAATACTTTTTGATACATGATCAGAACTGTAAGCTAGCGTTGAACAGTCACATGATATACATGTGATACAATGGAGTTACCATCTCAGATGTAATGTCCTCGTGAATTTGGTCTGTGTAATTGGCTGTTTGGAGGAATGATATATGGTGGCTGATGAAGGAAATATAAATAAATTAATAAACATCTGATTTGATTACTCTTAAAAAGTAGAATGCTTTTTGAATCAGTCAACTACTTTGTTCGAAATTCAAAATCTGTCGGCTAGTTCAACTGTCCCTTCGCAGATTAAATGCTTCCAACAGCGATATTTTTGTATGGGACTATAAATATGGCCTTTGTATGAGCATTTTTGAGTTCACAACAACAATTTGAACTTCTATTGATTATAATTCATTGCTTCATACATTGAATACTTAGATTTGAGCTGTCTCCCAGTGCTAGGCTGTTGGTAGGCCTTTGTTCAGTGAACTCCAATACATCGCATGGTTGTTATGCAGGGGACATAAAGAACTGAGTTTCCACATAGGAACTTAGTTTACTTGTGAAAATTACATTTTTTTCTTCGGTATAATGGAGCTAACTGGTTTTTCCAACTAAAAAAGATGCGAGCTTTCTGGGGTGTGGGTGTTTTGGGGGGGGGGGGGGGGGGGGGGGGGGGGGGGGGGGTTTGCCTTAAAAAAAAATCTAGGTTGAGGGGCAAACAAGGCCAGAATGGAATGTCTTACTGGATTTTTTGAGCCTATGCTGGTATTTTCTATCCTAGTTTGCTGTTTATAACACAAGGTTTGTCCAATGTTATATGGTTGAGCATTCTGCTACTGAACGCTGATATATTTTGTGCATACTCATACGGTTTACGTATTGCATTTTGACATTTTAATACTTGTCACTGGAATACTGGATTCAGCAATCAAAATGAATTGGCAACCGCCGAAGATGGAGATTATCCTGATCATCCCCAATCACCTACACATCTACCAGGAAATTTATCGTCTACTGAGGGCAATGTTTCATCCCGTGCAGTCCCGGAGTACAGTGAGTCAAAACAAGAGACTGCATTGCCACCTGGAAGCAATCAATATCCAGTGGTCCATACTTCTCCTAACTACAGTTTTGGTTTCATGCCACCACTGCTCAATAGCCAGCTTGCACCATTTGAGAACTCAGAGACTCAAGCACGCGATGGTTCTCGCCTTCCAAGCTTTATTGTAAGTCTTTCATTATCAGGTCTTTTGTGTTGTTTGTTGTTTATCCATAAAATTCTCTATATCTGCAACTTAATCATGCTGGTAAAATATGTAATATGATTTATGTTTTTTATTTTTTTAAGTTCGCTTACAAGGATATTTGGGCTATCATTTATTTTTGTATAGGTTCCACAACCACTTGATCCAACAAGCTACTATGCCCAGTTTTATAGGTCTGGTGCTGATGGTGAGGGCCGCATTTCCCCTTTCCATTCACCTGGAGTTGCGACCAAATACAATGGGAATGTTGCAATGTTATCTTCACAGAGTTCCCCGTCTCCTCAAGAGGTTTGCACACATCAAACTCTTGCAACTTTTTAGCCACTGTTAAATTTGAAACCTTAGGAGGTTTGCACTATTATTTGACATAAACATTTTGTGTCGGGGAGATTAGTCGTAAAATGTTGTTTGTTAGCTGAAGTTCTTAATATTGAGGTGCATATTGTCATATTCTGATGAAGAAGCTCATTACTTTGTGCCATGCGATTAAAAAAATTTCCTCGGTATTTCCCATAGTTCATGTAAAAATGGTACCTGCTGGTCGTGTTCTCCATTGAAGGATTTTTGGGGTTCCTGTGCAGGATTTGTGTGTGTCATTTTAAAACGCATGCAGGTTTATCCATGCATTCTTTGTGTAGCTCAAAATGGTAATATTCACATTGAGAACCCCTAGGAAGGATATTGGTAAACGATCCACAGGTGAGGTTTTTAGTTCGTTCTGTCATCAGTCACTTCTAGTATGACACCTTTTGGTTTTTTGAAAATGTTGGATTGGTTGCTGTTGTTTTCAATTAAATTAACTTATGTTCTAGAATACCTTTGTTGGATGGACCAATTGTTAGTCTTGAATACATAGCATGTCAGTGATCCTCCCCATATAGATACTATGGGTGTGACGAACAAACCACTTCTAGGCTGCCTTTTTATGACTGCCCAGATTGATGACCATCTGGGTATAACTGAATAATTGATTGTCACATTTAAATGATCTTTGTTGTTGGTTGTGCTTATCGAACTGGCTTGATATCTGGGTATGTCTATCTGATTAGCGAGGCTATATGAATGTCAAAGGTCATCAATATAAGAAACACAGAGTTTAACTAAAACCAATGTTTTTGCCATTGTTACTGCCTCGGTGGCAATGCATGCCAATTGGAGATGTGTAGTATGAAGATGGTACAGCATGGACTACCCGTGACAATAGATTTAGCCATGCATTGGTCTGGAAAGGATGCCAAAGAAGTTGGATTATGTTGCCTATTGACCTTGTATGTGATGCTGGTCTCTTCGACAAAACGGAGATTTATAGAGATGCCACCCAAACAATTGAGACCTTGGTGATGTCTGAAATGGATCTAAATGAAGAAAATATTGATTGAACATGAAGCCACATAACAGAGTTGGAATGTAGTGGTGCCAGACTGTGTATATTCAAATACTTATCTATATGTATCATTGGAGGTGGATTGTAAGGATTTGAGATGGTTATAGAGAGTAATAAATCATAAAAGGATTGAGTAAAGTATTAGGTGGAATTTATTTGATTGAAAATGTTTGAGTTCATAGTCTCACTCTAAAGGATTGTTGAAGTTGACTAACTAAGCTTTGTATGTTTTAGACGTTTATGTGTAAGGTTGCTCCATTGTCACTTGGAGGCACGGGTTAGAAGCAAAGAAACAGCCTCTCCGCATGCGGAGGTAAGGCTGCATACATCTGACCCTCCTTGGACCCCGCAATGGTGGTGGGATCCTCGTGCACTGGATTTGCCCTTTTACCCTGTCAGCATTTTCCATCATCATTGCAGTAATTATAATTCAAACTATAATTACCTGACTACCTTTAATGTGATAGTTCTCCATTCTTCATTGTTTTTAAGGAATAAAAGTTATAATCATACTTATGCATATATGTCCATCTTGTGATCCAAAGTGCAGTTATTGTCAGTCATCAGTCTAGTCATACATGTCAATTCACTGAAATTTTTTTCCTTCCTGAGGCAAAATAATTACTACTAATTGCATCCAAATTATACTTTGCCGTTTGCACATTCTTCCATTTTCACATAATGGAAATTTGGCAAGACTCTTTTAATCTAAAATTGTGGCAAATATTTTACCCAACTAATCATTGTACTATAGAATTCGCTAGAAAAGCCAAGTGCATCTTAAAATCTCAAACTTGAGAGGGAGGGGTTGCTATAATGTATAGGTTGTATTTTTCACGTTTTTATTTCTATGTCCTTGACTTGTTTGTCATTATTAACTATAATCAAGGGTAAAATGCAAAAGCCCTCCCCGATAATGTAGAAAGAGTGCTGCGCCCCGGTCTCCCCCGGCGAACTATCTTTCGTGCAATTAACACCTTCATGTATTGCAAATAATTACAAGTTGCACTCTTCAGTGCAAAAAACCCCTGTTAATATAGAAATTGTGCTTATAACTCCCCAAGCATTGACTGCGAGAGTAAAGTGCAAAAAACCCCCTATAAGATTGATCTTGTAGTGCACATGACCTTGTATTATGAATATTGCGCATAACCCGCTGACATGGTGAAAGGTTATGTTTGTAATTTGAAGGCACACATTCTTCTTTGCACCTTTAAAATATTGAGGGGTCTTTTCACACTATAAGGGGATTATGCGTTCTTTTTGCACTTTACCCTGTATCAATTATGCACCATTAGGGGCTAAGGTTTCAAAGGTTCTTCACAATGAGAATTCCTACCGATGTCCGTTTAGTTGATAGAATGTGTTTTCCTTTACCAACTAATAGATAAATGGAATGATTAGTTGAGGGTTGAGAGCACAGCCTTTGTAAGTTTTCTACAGTGTTTCCCAGGGTTAATTTGAGTTAAGTTTTTCAGTAAAATTTGGTGAGTTAGTTAGTCTCCTCTGGAAACAAGTATTTAGGACTTCTGTTAGTAATAGAATTTACAATATGGTGCATTAACGTGTTTAAACTATACTCTATTTCTAACTATCTTCCTAAATCCTATTTTGCTATTCTGTTCAGTAGGTTTAATGTGTATTTCATTAGCCATAATTCGTTACTCTATTAAGACATTTTGGCTAATTCTGATACCTGTTGATAATAGATGCAACTACAATTGTTCTAGCAGCAATTTTACTGGGCTTGCTAATGACTTCATGTTTTTGCCAGTCGGCCACAAAAATAACATGCATACCACCATTATCAAACCATAGGCAAGATGTATATAAATGCACGAACCAAGAATTTCCTTGTGAAAATACAAAGACCACTCTAGGGGAGAGGTTACTTGGACTCAACTAGATGATTTTCCTCTTTTGAGCCATGTTATGCTGTGTATAGTAGTTTGAGGTAAAATATCACAAGTGTTTGTAAAACATACTGGGCCCACCTTGGAAAAATTCTGCTCCAACGCTTTTCTTTTTTTGGTCGACGATGGTGGTGTTGGGCCTCTTAAAGCACCCCACAATCCACCACTGGGTACATGCAGTCCCCTTGCCCCACGTGTACCTGAAAATTCCCCAGGGGTGGCTCCAAGCGGATTCAAACTCCGACCTCCAAGATGTGAGGTGAGAGCTTTGTCATTGGCTATCCTCTTGGGGTTTGCTTAGACTCCTTAGGGGGCTAAAATATTGTCTATGGAACTGCACAAGTTAATTAACTACAGACAACACTTCTGAATCAAGTACACTGAAAGAATCGCACATATACCAGTGTCACAGTTGAATAGAAGCTTGTACCTAAACAGATTTTTTTGACAGCAGGCATGAAAGTGCCAAATATTGAGAGAATGACATGAATTGGAGATGGAATTAGGAATATCAAATTGAATGTCTCCATCCTCTCTTGTTCAATCTTTGAATAAGAAAAGTACACAACTGGAGCAGATAAAGTACTACTCGGTTGAATGTTGGATCACATCATGTTTACATTTGCTCTAACTTTTGGCTTGGTTAACATTGGCCAAACCTTCTCATCTTTTGGGGAATTCTATGAGATTCTCTCTGTTGAGAATTTTTGTTTTCTTTTCCTTGGCTGAACTTTTAATTGTGCTGCTGCTAAACATTTTCACATTCCGCTGTTTTACATTCATATATATTTTTTTCTTTTTTCAAATTTCAATCATGCTGTCTAAGAGTATGTGCGCTCCATCATTGCTGTTCATGAAGTATGGATATATAGACTGGTTTAAGTTTGAGGATTACATTCTTTCTGTACTGAGATAGCATCCCATGGTAGTAATTTAGATTGATTATGCAAGCTCCAGGTGTTCTGTTATGTTTGATGGTGCAGGCTGCTATTGGTTCCTCTTTAAATTATATTGACTGGCATTTACTTTCTTTGGATGTTTAAGGAAGGGATTCTGCTTTAAGTAATTGCGATTTTATAATTTTAAGCATATCATAGAAACCAGGGAAAAAAATGTTAAGCATGACATAGAATATATTCTATGTTTACTGTTGTCTTAAATCCCTTCCATCCCCATGATACATTTCTTCTTTAATACATTATTTGCACTTCTGATTCTTATATGTATGTCCAGTTGCAGGTTGGAAATATGGTTTTGTCTTCAGCAAGCCCGACTCCACTCGCAACTCAACCTGCTGGGGTCATGCAGAACTCAATAGCCGTAACTCAGCAACCACTCCCTGTCTTCCGACAACCAACTGGGGTGCATATACCCCATTACCCTCCAAACTACATTCCATATGGTCACTATTTCTCCCCATTTTATGTTCCACCTCCAGCCATCCACCATTTTTTAAGTAATGGTGCATTCCATCAGCAACCTCAGGCTGGCAGTGTATATCCTGCTCCCCCAGCAGCAGCTGCCAAATTTTCACTTTCACAATACAAGCCAGGAACTAATACTGGAAACTCAACCCATATTGGAGTGCCCGGAAGCTATGGACCGTATGGCTCCTCCTCAACCGGTTATAGTCCCAGTTCAGTTGTGACAGCTGGTAACTCAACTGCTAATGAGGATCTTGCTGCTTCCCAATTCAAGGAGAGTAATGTCTACGTTACTGGGCAGCAGGTTGAATCTTATTTTCTTTATATGATTAATATTGTTATTTTGTTTGTTAACAAAAAGTAGTGCTATGAAAATATCTCTTATGTTACATGGACTCGGGTATGTGTATCGGGTGGTAGGTACATGTCTAATTGTCAGATCTTCCTGCATCCCACATTCTAGAATATGCGGACTTAGTTGAAACGTATCCATAAGTAGGGTATGTGGACATTTTCTGGACATTAGATACATAATTTGTTATGTAATAGTGTATGATAAGATATTAATGTTTCTTAAAATGTATTTAATAATAAATTAAATTAAAATGTCTTCAGTCTGAAACCCTTCTTTGTGATCAGACTCGAGCTTTTCTCTTTTTCTTCGATCGTCAGATGTATAGGATCCAAATGTCTGATTTAAGTAAAAGCGTTAACGAAGATTGTCAACCTGGGGTTCTTACATTCATATGATAGTTTGGTGTTAGATGTTTTTTTGTTTGTGGGGGGTGGGGGGGGCTTAACGTATCCCCATTAAATAAAGTTAGATAAGAAATTAAATTACTTGAAACAGTTATTGTATTTTTATATTTCTGTTTGCTTCCTTTGATTTCTATGATTTTGCAATTTGGATGCTTATTCAATTAACAAAATCTACAATCAGTGTTTTAATGGCCCATCGGCACCAAGTGATATGAAAAATTTAGGTCGTGGGTGTCAGATTGTGAACTGTTTTGATGGATCAGTTGAGCTGTGCATGAACACATTAATTTTGTACAGCTTATAATGTTTGTACTAGGTCCAACTCAATTCAGAATCTTTAGTGACACAGCTTGTTTTTGAAACTGTGGGTTATTTATGTTTTCCTATTTGAGTTGAAAGTGAGAGATTACTGTGCTGGCCCTTCATAGTTTCTTTTGAACTGCCACATTGTGGTTCTGTGTTTCTCAGTTTACTGTTGTTGAAGCTAAGTTAGCTCATGTGTCGCTGTATTCTCTTTTCTTCCTCCCTCTTCACTTTCCCAAATACATAAATGATACCATTTTATAATAGCGGCCGTTTTACATCATCATCATCATAATGTTTTGCAGACCGAAGGTTCAGCCGTATGGATTACTCCACCAGGCCAAGAGATTTCTGGCTTGCAAGCTAGTTCGTTCTACAACCTTCCTCAAGGTCAAGTGACTTTCGCGCCAACGCAGGCTGGCCATGGTACCTTTGCTGGTATCTATCACCCTTCACAGGCAGTCACACCAGCAGCAGTTCATCCGCTTCTACAACAGTCTCAGACTATGGCTGGAGCTGCTGATATGGTTGGATCTACGGCCAGTGTCTATCAGCAGCCTCAACATGCACAAATTAACTGGCCCAATAATTATTGAAAAGGAGCTGTTATCTTTTGTAACCAGCAAGACAAAAGTGCAATGCCCAATTTTGGAACTTTGTAGGGATTCCAATAAATTCAGATGGAGGAAAACATCAAGAAAAAAATACAAGATTGGCCGGGATCGAGTGTAAATCTGTGGAAGGAGGCTAGAGAAATTGGGCGATTGGCCAATGGTGTCTCGGGATTGCTTCTTGGTTGAGGATATAGAAAGGTGAAATCCTCCTGTAACTAATAATGACCATTTTAACTTATTAGTTGAGGCAGGTGTGTGCAGATCTGCTCTTACTTGCTGCTGGTACATGGTTCCCTACACAACTGCACCTTCTTTTAATCTCTTCTTTTTATTTTTTTCTAAATGTTCAACTTATATTTAGAGTTAATGTGAGTGTCGAGAAACTTCCCCTTTTCCATTTTCGCCCCTGCGATATTTTTCTTTTTATCTGATGAGGATTCATAGGACTCTGGAAGCTAAGGTTAGATTTCTAGGGTATGTTTCCCTTTCCTGTTTTGTCTAGTCTCTCTCTGCTGTCTTACCTGTAAAGTGATTTTTGATAGCAAGATAGGATGTACTTAAAACTGTTGTAATTGGTATTGTTATAAGCAAAAGCAGCTTTCAATTGTTTCAGTTGACTGATACACCATTAGTACTTTTTGAGAGTATATAGATGGTGGAGAAAAGCTTGTGACATGTTTATTTTCTCTTCTTGCTACAATTTTATTTTATTCTATTTTTCATTAATCTTTGACCCATTTAACAAATATGCAGAGGATGTTAGTTGTTAACGAAATCTAGGGCTATGAACTTGAGCAATACACACGCTAACTAGACAGCGGTCAACACCTAGACAAGATAAATATGTTCCCGTTTTATGGGATTGGAAACATCTCTATACAGGCAAGACAAGAAAACATAGGACCTGATATGTATGGACTTTGCTGTCGTACGGCTGCTTTGATGTTATCTTCCATTTTGAGTACATTCGGTTTGAAGAAAAATTCCAAAAGCAAAGCCATTGCAGGCTCTTGAATTCATCGATTGTTGACAAACATTAAAGGTCTCAAGTTTTCTGTGCATGACTAGGTGGATAAACCTTTCTAACGCTAAAGAACTGTCACCCCAACATGCTACACAAACTTTTTGGTATCCGCACAGTGAAGCCTCCTTCCGGGCGCGAAGTTCCTCCAAAGCCGGTGGCCTCAATCCGAGCCCCGGCTGAGGAGAGGTCGCAAGCTTTGAAGATCATTCATGCAGGTGGCAGGGTAGAGTCCTACTACATGGCTGTTCCTGCAGCTAGGATTCTGGAAAAGCAACCCTCTTTCGTGCTTGCTCGGCCTGATGTTTTCCGGAGGCCATGGGACTCTGTTGTCCGGCCTGAGGAGATCCTCACTCCGGGTCAAAAGTTCTTTATCGTTCCACGTCGGACAGTGAAGAAACTCAGGCGAAGTATCCCAAGACCCACCGGAGAAGATTCGTCTGTCTCCTTTGTCTCGCAACACTCCACCGATACCTCAGCTGTTATTGCTAGCCAACAAAAAGACCTTTCCAGCAAGTCCTTCCTCCAGGAAACTGATGTTAGTTTTACCAGTATTGTTAAGTCCTCCAAAACTAAAGGAAAAACTAAAGCTCGCAATCGCCATGTGCGCTTCTTTGGCGTTGACAGCAAGCATGATTCGGATTCATCATTCAAGAAAAAAAAGGATTCGGATTCATCTTTCAGGAAAAAGAATGATTCGGATTCATCTTTCGTGGAGAAGAGAGGGAATGCGAAGGAGAATCAGAAGAAGATCTTGAACACCTGGTCCGGTGGAAGGAATAAGAAGCTGAGAAATGTAGTATCATGGCAGCCAAATCTCGCAGTGATTAGTGAGAGTATCAGTTCTGATGAATGATGCTTCTGTTTGTGCGTCTTTCATTGAACTCAGGGGCCTAACCTAATAATTTTCTTTGAGCACATTAACAATACTTTTCAGTTCAATTCTTGAATCAACAATTTCATTTATCAAAGTTGTCAAAAGTTGAAACACAAACACACACTCTTGCACACACTTTATTCCATTTGTTTGGTTGGAGCATTGGAGGGGAGAGCGGGATAAGTGTTTTCCTTTTTCCATTTTGTTTTTTGTTTTTTTGTTTTCTAAATTGAAAAATGTTTGATAAGTGGGCTAATTAATACCCACATTTGTAGATCCTATTGCGTATTTTATTTTCCTGATCAGCTTTTGTTTGAGTGACATTACTCTTCTTTTTCATTATTTATTTATTTATTTTAACTAGTGACTTTTGAGAGTCATGCCATTCAATCCCATCCCATTTCTTTATTTTTGGATGGTTGAAAGAGACAAAGAACTAAATTTCTTTTTCAAACCAACGATACAAAACCGAATCGGTATACTAATTCCTCCTCTTCAAATTATATATGAAATTGTTTTTCAATGAATAAGTAATTGTAAAAAGCAAAATCGCTTCACGTTGCATATTAAAATTTATTAAAGCTATATATACATCATTATGCCCGATAAAAAAATGAGAGAAGATCCAATAGAAAAATATTGGAAGTGATTTGAGGTAGAGTGATATCGACATCTTATATTGGTTTTGTCTACTTAAAATTAAAGTATTAACAATAAAAGATTAAGAGAAATGTAATTAAAGGAATTGCTCACAAAATGAATCTGGATTCTCACATATTTTATGTGATAAAACTTTTGCCATTACATAATTCAATTCCAACCAATGATTGAGTAAAATTAGCATATTAAATTGGGCAAGACATGATCAAACCTAATTGATTGAAGGTCTTCGAAATGGATAAAATTAGGTTAATTATTAAATTGTGCTTGTCAAGTCTCAATCCTAATAAACACAGGTGTGCTTTCTTCCAAACTAAGACAAAAGCAGTGGGCCAATGGAAAGAGTCATGAGCCTCTCATAACTTCACATGTGAACCCTCACCATCCTGTCATTTTTCTATCATTTTCATATATCACCATCTTAGCATAAAGACGATATCTATATCCATGATCATACACTCTCTCAAATCTTTTTATACTAATTTTTTATTTTTTATTTAAAAAACATTCTTATATTTGTTAATGCTTGTTCTAATTTAGACGTTCTTAGCTACTTTATAGTTTATTCTTATGGATAATCAACCTAATTTACATAGGAAGGCACCGTCAATATCAATTCACAAAGCTTGGGGAGAATATGCCAAATTATTAGAACATTTTATGCAGTCTATTTATAAAATACCTTAGATATATTTGGGAGTATTGAGTCACACAGTTTGTATTTAGAGTTAAAAAAAAATTTAATAAAAATTTTGAACTAAAATTTTAAATTCAAAGCATCTATTCAGTACTCTTTAAAGTAATGCAATAGTCCTTTTAGAAATAAAAAACGGAGGCAATCGCTTCATTTATTTTAAATAAAACAATAAAAAAATAAAAGAAATACAATTTTTTTGAACTATTTAAAAGTTTGGTTAGGAAAAAAAATATAATAAAAAGAAATTTTTTAAGAAAGAATTACTTTCCAAAACCATCTAACTTACATATAAATTTTTTCTGAAAATAACTCAAAATGTTTTTAATCAAATAAAGGATGAAAATTTTATTTATATTTAATTTACTTTTATTTATTTATAAATAAATAAGTATTTTTATTTACTTTATTTTCTTTTACTTTTACTTTCCGATTTCCACCAATAAATTTTTCTTTTTGATTTAACTAAATAAATTTAATATCATCAATTTTTGTCTAATCAAACAGTGCTTTTGGGTTAACAAAATGAATTTAATTAAGGAAATAGTCTAGGGATGAGGAGAATTTTTTTCAGTAAATGGTTGGATGGATATAGGAGATGGATGGTTGTATTAAGTGAATTATAAAGTGTTCTAAAAGATTCAACATGATTATTAATGTAGATGCCTCGATAGATCAGTGGGTGAGTGTCTTTGGTGGAATTTGGAGCGATAAACTTTAACTCTTTGATAGCCCACGAGTGAGTGCCTTCCATAAATTTTAGAATGTCAAGATTCGATTGTTTACATTTATTAATCTAACTCCTACTCATTCTTGTCAAAAAAAAAAAAAAAAAAATAAATAAATAAATAAATAAATGCCCTGATCAAAAAATGGACCATAGAAAGTGGGCCCTGTCCTCTTTTCTGTGTCTTGACAGGCGCACTGCACCCGAACCCGGGAAAGGCTCCCGAGGATGTGGTTATATATATACGGAGTATAGTTTATCTGTATATATTTTTTTTAGAGAAAGAGAGTGTGTGAGAGGGGATGGGAGAGGAGACAGTGATGGATAAGCAGGCGGAATTATGGAATGAGAAGCAGCAAACCCTAATTGAGGAAGTGTCAGAGAAGCTCATCAATGGCGATTTGGATACCAAAATACAAGCCGCAAGAGAAATAAGGAAGCTGGTCAGGAAGTCCTCCTTAAAGACTCGATCCAAGTTCGCAGCCGCTGGAGTCATACAACCCCTCGTTTCGATGCTCCTATCGCCCAATCTTGATGCCCGTGAAGCTTCTCTCCTTGCTCTCCTCAATCTCGCTGTCAGAAATGAACGGTCAGTCTTAGGGCTCTCCCTCTCTCTCTATATATATCTGTATATATGTTTACATTAGATTGAATAGTTATTGCCATTTCCTGTTAAAGCCATCTGCTCTGTTTGGTTGCCGAGTAAATAGTGGAAGAGACATATATAATTTTGGTTCGTTGGGACTTCAGAGAATCCGGAGCTTCATTCCAGCTTAAATTAAGATTCAGTATTAATCTTTATATATTTTTAATACAATATCTGTGTAAACAAATGGATTATTGGGTAATTTCATGTAGTACTTTATGCGTAATGCCAAGAATTGAAGTCAGGTGTTGTTTGTGATGTAGTATAGTTTGTGTTCGAGCCTCAAGAAATGTTGGTCTATGTTAAGGAATATATTGTGTTTATTGCAGGATGATCTGCCCTAAAGTTGAAATCTTTGTCTTTATTTCACAAATTTCTTCTATAGTCTTTTACTTTAATTTTGTTTTTTTTATAATGGTCAATTTAGGATTTATGTGGAGCTGTTTTGTGTATGTTGGTGCTATCAATTACATAAAATAAAGATTTGGATTTGCACTTCTTTATGACTGTCTTTGGGAAAATAGAAAGGAATAGTGATGCTGGGACAAATCTATACTGAATTTAGGATCATAAAGAGAGAAACTCAATAGTTTAGAAGTCAGATGTAAATTTTATATCAACAGTGGGAATTTTTGGATTTAAAAGGTTCATAAATATTTCTCTTGACGATGACTTTCACTGGAATATATGCAAATGAATTCTTTTAGGGGTTTCCCGGCTAAAGATGGTTTTGAATGTTATCATTAGGAGTTTTCAGTTGGGGGTAATTGCTCAATGCAAAGTTCGGTTGTTAGGTGTGAGAATGAGAGTTCCAAGTATGAATTGGGATGGGGCATCCTTCCCCGTCTCCGCTCTTCAACCATTTATGAAATAACTCTAAAACCCCATCCCTGAAACTGATTAAGAAATGTAACCGTCCCTGCACCACCCCACCTTACTTTTTTTTTTTTATATAAAAAAAAATAGAGAATTTTTTCATCTGTCCTCAACCCCCCCTTCCCCCTTTCAATGGCAAGATTCATAAATAGAAATAGATCAAGTACACTCTTAATCGATAATTTCATCAACATAGTATGAAAAGAATACCAAAAATGAACATCAGATTTTATGGCCAAGGAATGAGATTTCTTTCTCTATGAATAAAGCAGAATTGAATATCTTTAACCAGTTGCATAATAGCAAGGGCCAAAGCTACCTCCTATACACAGAATCAATCTCACCAGTAAACAAGAGCGGTGTGAGAGAGAGCGTGAGCATTCTTTCTGAGATCTGTGTGGCACAGCAATGTGAGAGAGATGTTTGCGTTGCCGTGATGAGAGAGACGGTTATGTTGTTGTCGCTGCAATGAGAGAGAAAGAGAGACGGCTATGTTGTCGTCGCTGCGATGAGAGAGAAAGAGAGACGGCTGGGATGAAAGAGAGAGAGCGTTGCTGGGATGAGAGAGAGATGCTGCATTGAGAGAGATATGGTTGCATCGGCGTTAATGAGAAAGAGAGAAGCTGTGATGGGAGAGAGAGAGGCCGCTGTGATGAAAGTCTCATGGCAGCTTGGATGAGAGTTAGCTGATAGGGTTTTCTTCAGTATTTAACTATATATACACACTTAGGGTATTTCGGTGTATATTATAATAGATATAAGGGTAAAACTGTAAATATGCGGGGAGGGGCGATCCTCCCCTGTCCCGAGCCCACGTGTATTTTCTTTTTATTACTAAACCCATCCCTGTCCCATTTATATATATGGGTCCCCATAACCGCCACTAATGGGGCGTGATGGGTCATTTTGCCACCCTAAGTATGACGGCAACCACTTTATGCAAATTGTGCCAAAGTTTATATATAGTCACAGGACCATTCAATTGGTGACATGGATAATTGTACTCCTTTAATTTCAAAACAAATGAAATTGTCTTTCCAATCTAAAAATTTCCTGTAATATGTTATTGTGAACAAAATTAGGTGAACAAATCAGCTATATGCCTATTATGTTCCTTTTAAATTAAAATTTTTTTTTATTGCTACTCTTGTATTATTCTCTCACCGTGTGTTTGGATTTATATTGAACCTCAATATACCATTCTGTTTTATGTAGGATTTGAGATGTTTCAACCCCCCCCCCCCCCCCCCCCCCCCAAAAAAAAAAAAAAAAATACCCCATCCATTATAATGCCCTTATTCTTTCATCAGAGCTGTCACATTGGTTGATGGCCTCTTCTTTGTCAGTGGTCCCAAGGTCTTGCCTACAGTATAAATTTTTGCTTCAAAATTATATGGAGAACACTAGATCAGAATTGATTTGACAAATTGTATTACTATGGAATCCCGAACTTTGTTTCTGTTGTTTAGTTTTACTTGAAAACATTGATTCAATCATTTACACTATACATTGTCCGCTTTTATTGTTCATTGATTTTCTTTCTTTTTTCATTGATTAGGATATGAATGTTCTGAAGAGGGAACGCTTGGGGAAAAAAAATGACACGGGGAAGGTTTTAAACATTAAGTCGTTAATATAACAAATGGCAGGAAATCGGAGTAAGGGAATATAAAATATTTATTAAAAGAATCAGCATTAAATTGGATTTTGCCACCATCTTTTTGATGAGTGAGTTAAGGTGGCAATCTGACACCATAGCATGATCTCGATATCTCTTATAGGAATGTCATAATTTCTAAGGCCTATGGGCATCCTGATTTCCCAACTTGATTGTACTTTGAAGTGTTTGTGGACTGTCGCACATGACTATACCCTTGCATCCGTTAGACCCCATCATTCAGGCGACAACCGAAGAAATAAGATAGAAAAGTTTGCATATTTTGGAATGTTAAACACAGTATACAGCAACAATATGTGCTTAGGCCACTGATATCTAATTAACTTACATTATTAAGGCAAAAGCCGCACTTGTTTAATCTTTAGAGGTATCTAAAGAAGAATGCTTTCATTGGTGGGTGAGCCAAAGGAGTCAAATTCTTGAGCAAATATTTGGCAGATGAACTCGTGATTGCAAATCTTTTGAGGTAGACGTTTTACTTACAAACATGTCCAAGAGGATCAATACATCCAGCGAGAATCATCATCTTCGCATTATTCCTGATGACCTTTATTTTTATTTATTTATTTATTTTTTTTTTTGTGTGTCAAAGACTTATCTAGGATTCACCTGTCAACCATATCATGCCAAGGGGTTGTCCTCCTTTTCCTGTGCTTCGAATGGTTATTAACAGATGTATTGGAAAAAGGAAAGGGGAAAAAAGGAGGAAGCCTGAGCAACTTTGTTGCTTTTCCTCTTTTTCCTTGCCTATTTCCTATTTTACCAAAGATTTTCAATTGAGGAAGGCTGTTAATTGACATAATTGTTGCTGCTTCATAACAATGGTAACCTAGTAATATTTTTTTTAGTCATGTGAAAATATTTTTTTCTCCCTGTTATTTGTTGCATTCTGTATTTCTTTCATGATTGTCATTCTTCTCCTTTTTGGCTCATTTACCTATATGTTCCACGCGCAGTTGATTTATCTCACTCATTCCTTTTCTTTCACACATCAGAAACAAGGTCAGGATAGTGACATCTGGCGCCATTCCACCTCTTGTGGAGCTCCTCAAGTTCCCAAGCAGCAGTTTAAGGGAATTGGCAACTGCAGCAATTTTAACACTCTCAGCTGCTGCGGCCAACAAGGCGACAATAGCAGCTTCTGGAGCAGCACCTCTCCTGGTTCAGATTCTTAACTCTGGAAGTGTTCAAGGAAAAGTTGATGCTGTCACAGCCCTGCACAATCTCTCGACTTGTGAAGAAAACCCAACTCCAGTACTTGATGCCAGAGCAGTATCTCCTCTCATCAGCCTCCTCAAAGAATGCAAGAAATACTCCAAATTTGCAGAGAAAACTACATCTCTACTTGAAATCCTTTCTAAGTCTGAAGAGGGACGAAATGCAATTTCATGTTCAGAAGGTGGGATTTTAACCTTAGTAGAAACGATTGAAGATGGATCTCTTGTGAGCATGGAGCATGCTGTTGGAGCTTTGCTCTCCTTGTGCCAGAGCTGCCGAAAAAAATACCGGGAACTTATCCTTAAAGAAGGTGCAATACCAGGGCTTTTACGACTAACAGTGGAGGGTACACCTCTAGCACAGGAGAGAGCACGTTTACTATTAGACTTGCTCAGAGACTCTCCTCCAGATAAGACACTGACCTCCTCTGTCTTGGAGAGAATTGTTTACGACATTGCTGCTAGGGTTGATGGATCGGAAAAAGCTGCTGAAACCGCCAAGCGATTGCTGCAAGACATGGTTCACCGAAGTATGGAGATCAGCATGAGCCGCATTCAGCTTAGGGCTGCATCTTGTACACCTTCAGATATTCAATCTGCATGACGAATCATTAACCTGCTGAGAATTACATATACAAGAAACCGGTTTTAGGAGCTTTATTTCTGAACCCATGCATCTTGTTTGTCCAATCAAAAGCTCTTACTGTTGCCCCCAACTTGATCCTATCTTAGGGTCAGAACGCATAGAGTTATACCGAGGAAGTTGTCACTGGTATTTCTTGGCTCTAGTGAGCTGATTTTGATGACCTCATTGCCCATTGTACATCTTGAACTTTTAACCCTGAGAGTGTATAAAAATTAATTTTACTTTAAATGTTCGTTTAATCTAGTTGTAGTAGAGGTATCAGTGGTAATCAACTCTGTGATGGTGATTGGTAAAATTGTAAACTGCTCCATTTTTTTATGGCAAGTTTCATCTACCGCTGAAAAGGAACCAAATCACCCAACAATGGCCTTCACCCAAGGTCCACAAATCAAGGAGTAATGCAGAAACTTTTAGAAGAGGATCAATATGCAGGGAGACTCAACTTGTATATTTTTGTGTACTTGGTTTGGACTCGGATGGCTCAAAATTTAGTTCAAAGTGGTGATTTGAACCGAAAGCCCGTTATGGTGAGAAACGGGTTTTTGAAGATTTTTTTTACAAAAAAAAAAATAAAAAAAAAATATACATATATACTCTCGTGGTGAGAAACGAGTATTTGAAGATAAAAAAATACTGTGGTAAAAACTTATAAGAAACGGGTTTTTGAACAATAAATTCGCGTGGGAAATGGGCTTTTGATGACCATTGTGATTTAAGCCGGATTTGAGTTTAGACTGAAATATTTTTTGAATTTTATTTATTTAATTTTCATTTGTATTTATAAATTTATAATTTATAAATTACTAATGGGTATAAAACTACTAAAAATGCACAACAGATCAACTATTTGTCATGCTGGTGAGCTCACGAGTCAATCTGAAAATGGCAACATTACCAATTCAAGCGCCGTATGCGCAAATCGCAACACTCAAAAAATTCAAAACCCAATCCCCAACTTCCACGTAGTCATATCACTGTGTACGTGGAAGCATCAACTGTTAGCATTATGCTTTAACCGTCATCATCTCTCTGAGTTGTGGGAGTGATTTTCTGTGATGCTGCTTGCGAATGATGATTTGTCTCCGGTTACGAAAAGGTCAGATAGGGTTACCAAAAACTATAGAATTATATTTGTTTAGGCTGTTAATAATGGTTCTTGAGTTCTTTCTCTGTATTTCCATTTAACCTGCATTTATTCTCTTTCAAACACTACTGTTGAATGGTCTTAATTCATTGCCAGATCTGTGAAACCCTAATTTCATTCTTAATTTGGTGATACTCGAACTCTGTATTTGTACAGCTAAAATTGTCTGTTCATTTTTGTCATTGTTTTGTATTCTTAGTAGGTGTGTGTGTGTTTTGTTTGTGAGGGCTTTTAGGTTGTCGAGAAATGTTGGGTCGTTCTTCACTCCCGCGAACCGGAAGTTTCCGACCGGAAAACCTAACCCAAAATGTTCTTGCCATGATTGGAAACCTCTGTCTCACTTTTTTTGTAATTGGGGTTTTGATTTTCACCATTACGGCTTTGACTTATGAACCTGAGGACCCTTTGATCAATCCACCCACAAAGATCACAAATTTCCTTGAATCAACCTCAAATCCCACTTTTAAATTGGATAATGCCGTTGTCAAGACCGGTGAGGACTTTATGGATCCTAATCAGACTAGTGCATTTGCCACAATTATAAACGTTAGTGATGTTGATTATGGAACTTCGAATCCCGAATGTGAGAGTGAAGTCAGTACACCCATTGATTGTACTGACCCTGAGGTGTTTCATGTGATGATGAAGGCTGCTATAGAACACTTCAAGGATATACATTTTTACCGGTTTGGTAAAGCTGTTCGCGGTTTCAATGATAGTTCTTGTCACATGGCATGGCGGTTTAGGCCTAAAGAGGGAAAGATTGCTGGATTTTACAAGGATTACCGGACTTTTGTGATTTCTAGGTCGGCGAATTGTACATTTAATGTTGTTGGTATTGGGGATTACCATTCTGGAGGGAATGCAAGGAAGAAGAAGAAGAATAAGAAACCGAGTTTAGAAAAGAAGCAAGAAGAGACTAATTCTCTTCCTGTGGTTGGTGAAATGGTGAATGACTCGCTCCCTGTGGTTGAATCCGAGGGGTCATTCCGTCATGGGAGGTACTTGATTTACACTGGAGGTGGTGATAGGTGCAAGAGCATGAGTCATTATCTGTGGAGTTTTATGTGTGCTTTGGGAGAAGCTCAGTATTTGAATCGAACACTTGTTATGGATTTGAGTCTTTGCTTGTCTTCGATCTACACTTTGTCGAATCAAGATGAAGAAGGGAAGGATTTCAGGTTTTACTTTGATTTTGAGCATTTGAAAGAGTCGGCATCTGTTTTGGACAAGGATCAGTTTTGGTTGGATTGGAATAAATGGAACCAGAAAGATGGATTGAGTCTCTATCTTGTGGAGGGCTTCAGGACCACACCAATGAAGTTGAAGTTAGCCAACGTGAAAAAGACCCTAATTATGAGGAAATTTGGTTCTGTGGAGCCGGATAATTACTGGTACAGGGTGTGCGAAGGAGAGACAGAGTCTGTTGTTCAACGTCCGTGGCATTTGATATGGAAGTCTAGAAGGTTGATGGACATAGTGTCAGCAATTTCGTCGAGGATGAATTGGGATTTCGACTCTGTTCATGTTGTGAGGGGGGAGAAAGCAAAGAACATAGAGCTCTGGCCTAATCTTCAATCAGACACCTCTCCTCAAGCTCTTCTCTCGACGTTGCAACACAAGATCAACAATGGAAGGACCTTGTACATTGCAACAAATGAACAGGACACGTCCTTCTTTGATCCTTTGAAAGACAAGTATTCCACTCATTTTCTTGACGAATATAAGGACCTTTGGGATGGGAACAGCGAATGGTACTCAGAGACGACGAAGCTTAACAAAGGGCTTCCTGTTGAATTCGATGGCTACATGAGGGTGTTAGTTGATACAGAAGTGTTCTTGAGGGGAAAGAAACAGATTGAGACTTTCAATGATCTCACTAGGGACTGCAAGGATGGTGTCAACTCCTGCAGTTCTGCAAGCTAATCCCTACAATCGCTTTTCGAAGCTTTAATTGGTGCTGCTAAATTTTGCACTTGTAGATATAATCACTAATGAGAAATTTTTGGTTTTAATTGGTAGTTTGGTTTTTAAGCAGCATTCAAAGTTTAAGTTGTGCTTGGTCTTTGGTTTTGATTTCTCTCTTGTATCCAAATGTTACATGATGTTAAATCAGGATGGAGTTTGTGCTTATAGCTCTTGTTCTTGATTGTTTGTCTTTTTTAGTGTATGGTTTAAATTAAGATGTAATTAAAATGTAATACAACAATGGCTTACAAATAAATTGAATGGTACAGGGTCGGTCTTGTGAAGCCTTATTTGACATTGGTTGAGATTGCAGGGCTTGTTTGGCGTCGCTGTTGGACAGATTAAAAGCGCTTTAAATTTGAAAGTTCTTTTCCAATTTTATTTGGTAATAATAATAATAATAATATACTTTTAAACAACAGTAAAGATTTTGGTTTAGTAGAAATTTAAGCAAAGAAACTTTTTACAAGCAGATGTAAAAATATATAAAAAGATCTATATGAAAAACGAATATTTATTAAAAAGTGCTTGAAATACCGAGTCCTCAAACACTAATAATTGATTTTTCAAAAACAAAACTTTCTTAAAAGCTCTACATAAAAAATAAAAAATAAATAAAAAATTGCTTCTAATAAGTTATGGCAATGCCAAAAGGATTAAAGAATTTTCTATTATTTGACCAATAAAATGTTACACTTACACCCAAATTGCCCTTTTATTAATATTAGTATACTACTATATCCCTTATGCATAGTATTCCAGGACTAAATAAGGTATATATATATATATATATATATATATATATATATGCATCACTTTTGAATGCGTCCAGAGTTAATTACGTATCGATAAGTTAGTTCCACTATTGTAGACTCATTCATCCTTCTATTTTTTGGGTAAGTTGATTCATCATTCTAATAATAGTAAAAATAAATTTGTGGTGCAAAATTGAGGATCTAACATCACCCTACAAATCCATCTTGGAGAAAGAGTAACAATCGGAAATAGTCTGTTGAATCAAACAAACCTGTTTGCTAAACATTGCCATTGCACTTTCCTCTTTCCCTTTCTCTGCATAGAAAATTTTCTTGCACAGAAGGGAAATCACAGCCAGTGGAAAACCGGCTACTTCGTATTTCAGAAATCAGGTAATGCTTATTAATCTATAATGCTTTAATTTTATTAATTTAATTTAATTTATTATTATTATTTTTTTCTCTCTCTCTGCTAATATGTTCATATAACAATCAAAGATTGTGTAATTTCACTCTTCATCTGCATGTCTTTATGCCTTTGAAAGAAAGCAAATGCATGGTAACATATTGAGTCAGTAACAACTTCGTCATCATCCTTGCCTTTATTCCATATCGAGTCAATAACATGATCCCGACAATTATATTTGTTTCTAGGACCTTAATGAAAATTTTTCTTGATACATATCACAAAATTTTATTGTGGGCTTGTCTATGCATCTTTAATCCTAGGTTATGGGATTGGTTAAATTGCTAATAAGCAAAACCGGCTCATATCTTAGTTAGATTTGCATTTTCCTAATGAAACAGTTTCTTTGTAATTGGGAGAGCTCTTGAGGCCATTGAATTTTCCTTGTTTTTTTTTTTTTTTTTGATTCAAACATGTTATGATAATTTTTTGTTTCAAAAATAGGATTATTTTTTCAATGGTAGTTTTTCAAGTTGGAATCAACTTTTCAATCCCTTGGGATAATAATGCATTTGGATTGTTTATAGGATCAGTACCTTTTTGTTTTAAAAAAACTCATCTTCATTCTAGCATTTTCACTTTCATTTTTGGTTCATTTTCAATTTTTAAATGAACCCAATAATCATTGCTATTTTTGCCATTTTGGTCAATTTCAATTGTTAATGAACCCAAAAAATCCTTCCAATTCTGCCATTTTTTGCAGAGTATTCCCCTGTTTTGCTTTCTAGATCTATTGAATACTCTGTTTCATTTCATCCCTAAAAACATGTTTTCTACTTAAAACTTAGCATGACATTCATTTGTTTTTACATTTTCTTTTGAGCAAAATTTTAGTGCTAACTCAGCCTACCCAAATCAGTCCAGGGTAAGGATGGATGAACAGCCTGAGAATAAAAATATTGCCCTCCCACATATAAATCTGGAGGGGGTGAAGAACTCAACAACATCATTATCCTCAGCACCATCATCACCAATGACCCTACGGAAGTCGCCAAGCATGAAGCAGAATTGTCTGTGCTCGCCAACGACACATGCTGGATCTTTCCGGTGCAGGTACCACAGAAACCCTAGCCTTTCCCGCAGTAGCGGTTCCATTGGCTCTAAGCTCTCAGAGTTGGTTGCTGGCCCTAAGCTCTCAGAGTTTGAGAGTAAACCAAGCAGAATGTGCGACCTTAGTGCAGAATAAGCTATTATATATATATGTATCTGAGATTTCATGTTCCCTGAATATGAATGTAATAATAACATATGGTTGTTGTATTTGGCATATGTTCTACCAGTCTGGCCTTGTGGTTTAGGGTTCAAGCCATAAGCCAACAGGCCACAAGGTGAACCGGTTATGGTGGTTGTATTTGCTTGTATTAAAATTTGAGAGCTGTATCTAAACTTCCTCATTACAAATGTTCCATGTTTGGTGCTTGTTTATGTGATTCTTGTGGTTCTAATACAATATGGAATGTGCTCAGATGCAAACTTTCTTCTCTATGCCCTTAATTTAGACCATATGGCATCAGGGTTTTACAACAAAGTTCATTGTCTCTGCATGAAAGCAAATGCAAATTTTAGATACAATGAGCAATCTGTTTTCTGATGCATTTTTCTCAAGGTTTTTGGGATTTTGAGAAGTTTATACTTTGCACACTGCTTTCAAAGCTCAAGATTTTTCTCAAAACGCGTCACCACATTTAAGTCTCAACAACTTCTCCCCCAGGCGATGTAGGACATCACATCCCTAATCTTCATATTACCATCTCACCTGGAAGCCAGAGACATGTTAATAGAGATATGGAGTTCTCAAAAACAAATTTTTTTACCATAGCCAATGTAGTATCAATAGCAGCTCTGCCCAAAATGCAACTTATGACTAATGGGTGATATCCTAGACAACAACATTTCAAATTTATAGAGTAAAAATGTATTCACAATAATATGTTGGATCAAGATTACATAGCATCACATAAACTCTTAACAGCATTGGATGACAAAGAGGAAACTTTTTACAAACCTAAGCTCAAAATGCATAGAACTTCAGAAACCTACCAAAATATGTACAATATAACTTTTGGTCACACAGACCCATCACCTAATACACACTATAGTGGCACCTAAAACAAGCACATAACCATGTCCCAGATGATGCATGCAACCATATTGACTGTATGACTACTACGCTGTACAACAAAACTTCCTTAGGGAGTATTTCCTAGAACTAATTCACATTGGACAAGTATCTTCCTCCACCTCTTGGGGCATCATGTGAGTCCTGCAATTAGGGCACGTGACTCTCCAATACTTCAGCCACTTCTCCAAGCACAATTTGTGGAAAACATGACCGCATGATAGGTAGTTTATCACCGCATCTGGTTCAAACTCAGTTTGGCAAATGGAGCACTCTTGTTCAGATGGCCCACAGCTACACAATGAGTCAAACCGAATTGCTGGTGTCCGTCTCCGGAACTCCTCCATGTAGGTTGTTGAGGGGCTTCCATGGCATTCATATGAGTCTGCAGGGCTTTCAATTGAATGTTCTTCCCATGATGTGAGACGGATTCCCATGACATGAAGGATGGAGAGGACTATGTCTTTGACAATGGAAATTGATATGACCGTGTTTACCAGGATTACAATTAGCACTCCTCCTTCAGCTGGAGTCGGATAATTAGACAGACCCATTTTTACTTGGACCTGATTTGAGAAATGAATGGTGTCAACACACTAGCTAAAATGAAATAAAAGTAAAAGATATGCAAGGAGAAAATCCACATTGAAGAAGTTTTTACTAAAAATATGTTACGCATATTTTGGCAAAAGATCCCCACCACAGCTGTTCTGTTAGTTCCAGTGAGATTTGAAAGATCTTCTTTAAGAACTACTTTAGTTCTACAAAAAGTTATTAGGAGAATGGCATGAAAAAGATCACTACAAATATCTGCTTTCTGAAATAGTTTCGTAAGTTTTTTTTTTTCAAAAAAAGCATGTTGCCATAAACATAAACGAGATGCTTCTTGTTTCATAGTTTAAAAAAAAAGAAGAAAAAGAGAGACAGATAAGGGAACACTCACATTTCCCACAGTTCTTGCACACAAACCTATGTAGGTTTTAGAAAAATCATTTCTAAAATCAAATCAAATAACCTAAATTCTTTAGGTTTAAGAAACATGCCATTCTGAAGCGAAATGCACTGTTTGTCCTTTTCAAACTAAATTGAAAGTGCTAAATAGACCCACATAACTATATAAATGGCTAAAATGATTTAAGGAAAAAGCTACAATAATCTCAACCTTCAAGACACGGTTCACTGAACCATGCACAAATACTGATACACAAAACCCAACCAGTCGATAGAGGATTGTATAAGGATCAAGTGTAAAAATTTTATATCAAAATTCACATAATCAGGAGCTGTGGTCAAACTTTTATCTTCTATATTCTTTGACCAAATTTGATCAAATTGAACTCCCAATCCTTGACCAGCTCATGTGATGTTTGTTCAGAGATTATAATTTCATAGTGGGATCATAATATGGCATGGGCATTATTTTTCATGTTTAAAATGTAATAATTCAAAGGAGATTTAGATTTAGTCAAAGATTAAAAGCAAAAGCAAAAGCAAAAGCAAAAGTAAAAGCAAAAGCAAAAGAAACGCAACAGGTCAACATAAAGAGCTAAGTTTTTGAATTAGGCAGATTTATTGGAAATGAAATGCTTTAAAAGAACTCAATAAAATTGACCTGTGTACAAAACACAAAATAACATCACAAATCAGATAACTGAAACATAAAAAGTGCATCGATTCTACAAGCTAAATATAAGATATATATTTTCTCATGCACTTGTTTGGGTATCATAAACCCACACTCATTAAACATGATAAAGGTAGAATCCATTGCACAAAGTCTTTTACCAGTTAAACAAGCTCGCACTTTTCAGACAGAATCAGATGGTCGAAATGATCACTGGTCTTGTGAAACGGCAGTAATTTCTACTCAATGAAGATTGGGGGAATGAATCTGTGTGCCTTGCCAGCACCCCTTTAGTCCAGTCCTAACTCCTAAGATTAGATTATTATTCTAATGGAAGTAGTATATACATTTATATATATATATATACACACACACACACACATAAGCAAATTGAAGCTTGGATAATAAATCTACAAGAGAACCAAAGACTCGTTCTAAGGAGGAAAAAAGAATTTGTGTGTCGTGACACGAATGCTTTGTTTGGTTAGAAGGAAGGAATGGTGGAAGAAAGGAAGGATGGATGCTTCCACTGTAAGGAAGGGAAGAGATGGAGGAAGCAAGAAGTGAGAAATCCGCCCTCTTTTTTCATCAGTCCATAATTGGCCAGAAAAGAAAGAAAAACTGCCTCATAAATGTATAATACCTTTTTTGACCTTCAATTATTTGGGACATAACCACAACCAGACCAGACCATTAGATAGATTGAGGCTGTATAAGGTGTCACAACTTTTACACACTATGATAGACCTTGACTTGACAGATTACCAACAAGAAGCCTTTATTCTGTGCCGGAGCAATGAACCCTATATATATATATTTTTTTTTCCTTAACCTATTTGTACCAGAGAAGCCTATTGTTCTATCATTAATTTTACTTCCCCGCCTATTGGTCTATCATTAATTTTACTTCCCCACCTAGCCTTTGTATATATTAGTAAAAAAATACTGCCCTTATCAAACAAAGGTAAGTGTCACCTCAACAATCCTTTGTACCGGCTCTTCAATTTAACCACCCAAAAAGTGAAGGAAACATCTTCCTTAATTTTTTTTTTTTTGGAAGGATGACTCATCCACCCCTCCTATCACACGAGCATAAATAATACAAATATACACACAAATACATACATGTATCTGCGTTATGAGCAAATTAAAACATGGATAATTCATCTACAAGATATTAAAGGACGACATTTAATAAGGAAAATGATGATTTGTACACATGTTTATGTTTGGTTCCACTTAAAAAAAAAATTGCCATGAAATATTTTGTATCATTTTCATTGTTTTTGTAGAGAAGTAAACATATTTCTTAAAAACCACATAACCAATCATTCCAGACTAGACTGCACAATTACTTTATTTTTCATAAGTAAAAGAACAAACTTTAGAAAGATCAAAAGCACAAAAAGAGAGAGACAAACAGAGGAAATAACCTTGAATTACATGATTCCAATCACAACCCATTTTTCAAAACCAAGAAATTTAAAGAAAGACATCATAAAGTTCAAAATATTGAGACCCAAAACAGATAATCTTCTATTGAGACAGCATAATAAGAAAAAAAAGACAAAAACCCAAAATACAGTAAAAACAACAAACAAAAAGCACGAATGAGAGTGACTTACAAAGGTGAGCTTCAAAATTTAGAGTTATATGGAACAAGCGAGTGTATTGAGAATTGGGTCGAAAGTATGGATTTATTAGAAGAAAAAGGGACTTCAGATGGGGCAATTCATATGATTCGAAAATGGTTAATCGGACAATGCTGATATTCGCCGACCACCGCCTAGCTCCGTTCAATTACCAAGTCCCTTATTTATATAAAGCTCCGGACCCCACCACATTATGAAGCTAGCTCAACCATGGTTTAGTCTCCCTTAACCATGGTTACTTTATATCGTCATTCATTTCACCATTTATTTAAGATGATAAATGCTAAAATGCAGTCCTTTTTCTGACAAAATGAACTCTTTTGCATTTTTTATTTTTTTTATTTTAGTAAATGACGAACATGACCTTAATACTTGTTCTTCCTTTTTATGTATTGTAAGGAACAATTGTATCATTTCTCAAAGCGGAGTAATATTATTTTACTTTACAAGTGTAGTGTATTTGATTAAAAGTGGAGTGTGAAGATTCACTCTCTTTATTTATTATTATTATCGTTAATTTTTTATATATATATATTAGGTAGTGAGACTATATAATTCATGTTTTGTATCTCTATTAATGTTTGTTCGTTAGGAAGGAAGATGGGTGGAAGGAGACATAAAGAAAAAAACAAACTTAGTTTGTTTGGTAAATATGAAATAAGGAGATAAGAGAAAAGGAAGAAACAAGAAAAAAAATGTAATGCTATTATAAATGTGTTTAAATTACAAAATTTTTCTTATAATTATTATTATCTTTTCCATTCTCTCTTAAGAAACAAAACAAAGTATTATCTCATTCTCGATCTTCTCTTTCTATTCTCATGACTCATTCATTTCCTGTTCTCTCATTTTTATCCAATTTTCTTCCATTATACCAAACAGGAATGTAAATCAAATGACAAAAAGTGTCTCATACTTATTTTATTTATTTATTTCCAATTAGGGACAACAGTGCCATTTTCTTAAAAAAACTGAAGTGCATTTCTAGTTCAAATATCACATTTATTTTTGTTTTTTTTTTTTTCATTAATTTAAAAATTACACACCAATTTTTATGAGAACTTGAACTCAATGTTCTACTTTGGATTGGGTTTTCTTCAAATTGAAAGATACTAAGATTATACTTATGACAATGAATCAGGTTTGGATTGGTTACTGTTCCAATATGAATTGATATTAAATTAAAAAAATTCAGCTCAAATCCAAGAAGAACAATAGATCTCAAGTTGAATTGAATTCGATTGAATTCGATTTGAATTCGATTTATAGTCGTCCAAATTAGAAACATAATAATGTGTTGAATTTATTTATTTATTTTAAGGTAAATACTCACACATTCGCCAACAAATACTTACTATGAAATTCAAATAATTCACTTTGCCTTTGAAAGAGGAGAGGAGAGCTTATACGCTGTACACATGCACTTTTTACAATTTAGCAAACCCACATTTGACAAGCTCTAAAAGGGGTTGGACGATTGGCATGGCCCAACACATTCTTTGAACACATTCTTTGGTTTGAAAATTACACAATTTGGAGCTAAGAAAAATGATAAAGTAAAGTTGGACTCGTCCAAAATTAACGTTTATCATCGTAACATCATTAATATCATCCTCCACTAAAATAGATATGAATCTATTCAATTTTTAAATATTGTATCACAATTCCAATATAAAAGGTGAGTATGCCCATCCATCTATTCTTAAAAATGGTATGAACTTATGGCCAAAGGGATTAATAACCCAAAGTGTATAAAAACCCAATAATATCCCTTTTTTTTTTTTTTCCAGTTAATTGGAGATATCTAGAAAGGTACGAACCCTTAGGGCCCTTCAACAACCCGACTAATCTCGAAAATTTGAAATGGCGCCTTTTCACCCGGACCAAATAAGTCACTGCAGGGATAGCGAAGGTTAATTACAAAGAATATCCAGCGGGGAGTCGAACTCCAGACTTAGAACTTATGAAGATCCTAAATCTAGCGAGAAATTCACTAAGCCATATCTGAAGTGGATACCCAATAATATCCTTACCAACAAAGAAAAACTCAATATTTTCCCTTGATAATTTGAAATATTTGAAAAATAAAAATTCAAATCACAAGGCAACTTTGGCCGGTCCGTTTCTTTATCCATAGTGTCTTTTACGCAGGTATGCACTAATAATAGGCATAATTTTTTTGTCATATTGAATGAAAAGCTTGTAACAATGCCAACCCAACACACTGGCAAGTGTACGGTCATGTTTGTTTACACAATTATATAAACTCGAGAACTCATCATTTACCTGTGAACAGTCACACATTCATGTATCATCATCCTCTTCACTACGTGTCATCCTCCAAGAATTTATGCATGAAAAGTCATGGTAATGGGCCTCCCTCTGGCCACCTTCATTTTGTCCAAGTGTTAGGCAATTATCACTAGTGTTTCAAAAATGCAATCATAGGCATAATTTGTACATATATGTGTATCATGACATGTATGTATCACAACTCACAAGTCATATCCCCATCACTTTGGATGAGCCAGCTAGCTACCTCTCTTTCCCTAGAAAGAGCAAGCCATATAATGATATGGTGAGGACGACCGACATTAGCAGGTGGAAGAGATTGCCGGTATTTATATTTGTGGGGGTCTATTAATTGTATAGATATATTTTAAAAATTATGAATATCGAGAAAAAAAATGTTTAAATTAAATGAATAATATTTACATAATGCGAGTAAGATTGTTCCTAATAATATTAGAGCCAATAACTTTTTAGTCATAAATCAATAAGCGTGCACAAACTCACGCTGCGTGCACAATAACGTAGCCGGTCATAATAGACTCACACATATAAAAATTTAAGTGCAAAACAAATAATACTTACATAATGCGAGTCAACTAATGATATCAAAGTTAGGTTTTCCAACGAAAATGAAATAATACTAGACAGCGTGGCGGGTCATGATGGACTCATGCAAAAGTTTGGCTGCATCCAAATTATGTCCAATGAATCTGACTGGGACTTGTTATTATCACTTGGACAAGAGGGAGAGAGAGGGGTATGGGAAACTCCTAGTATATATTAATTAGTGATACACGTACGTTATATATATATAATCATTAAGGTGCTTAATTTAATGTGAACTAAACATTATTATTGGTTAAATGTGGTTGGTTTGATAAGAGCTACAATTACTTTCTTGGTATTGCTTCATTTTCACAAACTAGTGGGGGAGTCCAACACTACACCGAAAGATGATTTGTCTACCAATATTGCCTACCAAACCTGAAATAAGATGGAGCTATATGTGTGTGTGTGTGGCCAAATCACAAGTCAGTCCCACGTAAGAAAAATGACTTGTTATTTAAGTCATTTCGTTTTCAATTTGTCTTTCTATCTTTGAATTTTCTTTTACTATATATGCTTACTGCCTAAACAAATGAATCTGCCTACTAATTTGAAATGGAAGTTCAACAAAAATCAAACGCACTTACATTCCTTGAAAAGTCCAAATATGTTAAGTGCAAGAAATAGATTGCATAATTTTCAACATTAATATATTCTTCATTAAATACAACTAACATTTCGATCAATCATAGTGTAGTTTAATAGTATTTCTTAACCTTTCTTTCTTTACCCAAAGGTCTGGTATAGCCAAATGACCCAGATTTGAGTCTCTCCATTCCATACACCTCAGTTGCTTTAGATTTCACAAGAAAAAAAAGGAAAAAAAAGAAAAAAAAGAAAAAAAAAAAAGAACCAACAACAACAACAACAACAACCATCACCTTGGGTTGAGTCTAGCTAGAACATAAGCACAAAAACTTTAGGTTCAAATTATGCATTAAATATCGAGAAATTATTGAATGGTTTGACAACATGTGATTTATAACAATAACAAATTGACACGTAATAAAATGTATTAATTTTTTAATCAATAGATAATTTGTGATTGCCATAAGGACTTGTTTAATTTGTCATTCAAAATTCTTAAAATTAAATTCATAAAATAGAATATTGGAACTATAAGAGACTGACGAGCTGTTTGGTTTAGTTTTTTTAAAACCTAACTTTATTTTGTGATAAATCAGAGATAAAAAATTGCACAAAAATTTATTTGGTTTAACTTTTTTTTATAACTATTTTATGAAAAATTAGTTGTAGTTTTCTGCAAACATATTTCTGTTTTATGAATTCTTTAGAGTTATTTTTTAAGTGACAAACCAAGTAAAGTCCTAATTTTTGTAGGAGAATCAATCAGAATTTTTGCACGAAATTCAGATTTTATCACTAGAAACAGAAAATTATTTTTTTGTTTTCTGTGTGATAAATAAAAAAGGGCTTAAATGTCTATTACAGCTAAGATGTGACACCGAAATTTTAGATTCAAACAGTCAGCAATGAGATGATTACAAAGTCCAAATTCGTTGAACTGAGGTAAGATTGGGAAAGTTAACGCCCCATTATGATATCACATGGCTTTCACGTGACTACGCGTCTTTTAGCGATTTACGTGTCACGTGAAGGACGAAAATTCTAGATAAAAGCTAGTCCCCCCAGGTCTTGGCTTCTTTTTCTCATGGGCTTTGGTCCGGTCTGCAGTCACCATGGCCATATCATGTCACCAAGACCTATCTTCCTCCTCTCTGTGTCACTGTCTGTGTCAGTATGTGACATGTACATGTTGTGTGTGTGTATATATATATATACACACACTAACACAACACATTAATTTGTTATTTTGGATAAATACAAAGAGTTGCCTAGAGTGTGATGAGATTTGTGCAAGCAGGGGGCATGCAAAACAAACACACACACACACACACATGTATGTATACACACACACTACACATGCTAGTGAACGCACTCCACTTTGAATGAGAGGTGTTAAAATAATATAGGTATAAGCTTAATTAATGCAAGAAATATTATAAATAATATTTGTGTATGCTTGTGAATGCCAACTACATTTTGTTTATATGAAATATTATAATATTTTATTTTGAATTAATGCATGAATACAAATGAATATGAAATTTATAAATAATATCCGTAACAATACTTGGATATATATATATATATATATATATATACCATTAATTGGAGTCATTAGACAATGCACAGTTTTTTTTATATTGTACAGGTTAGCTTGGGTTAATTACACTCACACCTCCTGAGGTTTGCCTTATTGACAGTCAGATGAAAGTTGACTCATTTTTGAACAATAATCACCCCTCACGTTTGATAAAATTGACAAAGACACCCCTCCCACATCTAGTACATAGTGAATTAACATTATTGCCCCTTGACTTGATAATTAACCTATTTTGACCTTGGAATTACATTTTTAACCTTTACTACTCATTTTGTTGGACCAAACCACCCTTACCCTTACCTTCATATCACAGACGCCGCCGCCACCACTCCACAGCTGCCGCCACCACCCATATACATCCATCACCGAATCCTAGCTTAATCAAGTCCAAATCCACATACAACATACAAAAATAAATTTCATAGGCAATATATATATATATATATATCCCATATTCAGAGAGAATCAGACACAAATATACACACACACACACACACACACACACACAACAAATTATACCAAGTCAGAGGTCTCTGAAATTTTGGTGGAATTGGGTGCGTGTGTTTCTCTGTATATGTAGATTAGCAATTGGTGATTATTTAAGTTTTTGTGTGTTGGTGGTGGAAATGGAGAAGGGCGGTGGCGATTGACTATGCTCGGGAATAACGTCGACTGCGAATCACACTGCTTACGCTGCAACAATATTGTGACGACGCCCATAAAGAAGATGACGACGTGGGCTGGTGGTTGCGTTCTGGGTTTGTTGGGAAGAAGATAAAGGTACATAGGTGGTGCAACCCCACGCGCATTGACGGTGAGTGGGGGTGTGTGATGCCCCTTCCGGCAAAGGTTGGGGCCGGAAAAAGGGTGATCCAACCCAACAGTTCCATCCCCTTCCCTTAGATGACGACGACGTTCTGAAACCTCCGGCGCCGAAATTCAACTCAATCTGAATTGACTGATCTGGCCCCACATCATACACGTTTGTTGCTCGTCTTCAACACAGACAAGAATGACGATTTGTTACGATTAAGGCGGCGGTTTCACAAGGTGGCCATGGCGGGAGGAAGTGGCAGTGGCCATTGTGGTGAAGGCGTATAGGAGTTTTGAGAAGTGGCGTTAGTAGTGGTGGCCGAGTTTTGGGAGGCGGCAGTGGTAGGTGAGGGTAAGGACTTGTTTGGCTGCAATTTAATACTGCTGAGGGGTATTTTGGTAATTTAAATACTCTGATATTTTATATTAAGAATTATTATTTTATTGAAGGGCAATAGTGTCATTTTACATCTTTTTAGGGGTTGTTTGGCTGCAATTTCTGATAGGGGGTGTGAGTGTTCAAAAAGTGACTAACTTTCATCTGGCTGTCAATAGTGTAAATCTCAAGAATTGTAAGTGTAATTAACCCTATATATATATATACACACACACTAACACAACACATTAATTTGTTATTTTTGGATAAATACAAAGAGTTGCCTAGAGTGTGATGATATTTGTGCAAGTAGGGGGCATGCAAAACAAACACACACACACACTACACATGCTAGTGAACGCACTCCACTTTGAATGAGAGGTGTTAAAATAATATAGGTATAAGCTTAATTAATGCACGAAATATTATAAATAATATTTGTGTATGCTTGTGAATGCCAACTACATTTTGTTTATATGAAATATTATAATATTTTATTTTGAATTAATGCATGAATACAAATGAATATGAAATTTATAAATAATATCCGTAACAATACTTGGATATATATATATATATATATATATATATATATATATATCTACCATTAATTGGAGTCATTGGACAATGCACAGTTTTTTTTATATTGTACAGGTTAGCTTGGATGTTGAACCTGCAAACATTAGCATAACACTTGAATATATATATATATATGCCATTAATTTTCCTATGATTCAATAGTACCTAATCTTAATTCCATAATATAATTTTGACAAAAAAAAAAAAAATTAAAACCAATCTACTGACGTTAGACTATTATATTTTGAAATACTGAATCGACATTTTAAATTTTAAATTAAAAAAAAATATAGTTCAAACTTACATTATATTGTTTTTTCTAGGCCAACTAAATCAATTTTTTACCGAAATGGCTTTGTTGTAGTGGTATAAGATCTGTCTTTTAAAGTGAATGGTCACTGCGAGTAATGTGTGTGTGAGTAGAAAAAAATATATACATATATATATATATTGTTTGCATCATTTTCTTAGGCCCTAGCCCATTTTCCATTGGAACCTTCAAGCCTTTCTAAAGCCCATCTTAGACCCCAATCCGAAACAAATAAGCATCAAAAACAAAAACTCTAGGGCTGACACGTTTCCGTCTCCCGCGAAAGTCGAAACGAAGTTCTTCTGTGTGGCTGTAGGCTTTCTACTTCATCTGGTCTCTGCGTTCCGAGTCGCCGCCGAGATCCGCCCTTGGTACGATTTGAAGCCTCGATGTCAAAGGCCTTCAGTTCTCGGTCTCTACTGAATTGATTTCTAAGGCCTTCAGTGCATCATTAAGGTTAGTGAACTCAAAACTGAATTGATTTCTAATTCTGACACAGACTTGGTAGTTGGTAAAGTTAGGTTTTTGATCATTATTCATTAGTCATTACGATTTACCAGTTTGAGAAATTGGGAATGGAACGGAGCCCTTGAAATTTCCGAGTCGCCGCCGTTCACGATTCTATGTTTGATGTGAATTTTTTTTATTTTTATTTTCTATTTTTAAAAGTCAAATGTATACTCAAGTAACTAAACTGATCCATCAAGAGTCTGCAGAGATTGAATCTGAAACAATTTTTATCAAGATGCCAAGCTTTTTGAAGATGGAAATCTTTTCAGAACTAAAAAAAGATCATAACAAGAACTTTGACAAGCAAAAGTACTTAATATAGGGTAAAGCTCTAAAGTTACTTCTTGAAAATTAAAATACTTACAAAAAGCATGCTTTTGAGTGACTTCCATAGTGTTGGAAGGGGCTTGCCACGAACTACCTCACACTCTACTTCCACTAGTAGATTCTCAAATAGGATTAGTAAATTGGTCAAAAGAAGAGAGAGGGTACTGATTGGTGAATTGTTCAGAAATAAATTGGTAATTTTTTTTTATTAATTACCCAAATAGGATTTTCTATGCTTTAATCAGTCAATTGTCACAGTTGATTTTGGTTGATATTTTTTGATTTAGCCCACCCCATTGAGAAATCCTGGATATGCCCTTGTTTCTGATTATTTTTTATTTTCTCTCTGGGTTCTATTTTGAGGAGTCTATAAGTAAATTTTGTTACTATATGATTGTAAATATGTCCGATTTAGTGTCTGGGCATTTGCAAGTGTTAATTTTGAATAACTTCAACTTTTTAGTTCGCTATTGGACTGTGTTTAGTCAAATTTAGCTTCAGTGTACTTCTCTATATCACTAAAATTCTTCAGATTTCTTAGATTTTCCTGGGTTTCGATCAAAGAATCATTCTGGTTATGTAGAGCAATTATTTGCTCTGGTGAAATGTTTTCAATATCCTTGTTGAGCTAGATGTTTTAATTGATCTATATCTGATTCCTCTGCTGTCTTCCAACACCTCTTTGCTCTAATTGTTGTAAATTCCTATATGTATTCTTTTAGGCTTATTCAGTATGTTTCTTATGTTTGTCTTTGCTTATTCTGTCTTTTATTAACTTAAATATTTTTTCTATTTATTTTTTTTTAACAACCTTGCAAACTAGTATGCATATATTATATCACATATTTCTTGCTGAATTTTCTTTTTGATACTTGATATTTAAATGACTTGATTTGAAATTTCTCCATGTTGCTTAAATTTGCAGAATTGCTCGATAGAGGAAAGTGATTTGAAATGACACTAGGCTAGTTTAGAATGGGACTCCCCAACTATTTTTTACTGTTTTAGTATTTAGTTACCTCACTTACCTGATATCTGAGATTGTTTTGACATGACTGACATTTCAGTAAATTATTGTATGATTCCTTTTGTTTGTAGTATAATTATTGAGTCATTTTCCCTCTTATTTATTATAATGTGAGTACTCAGTAGTGATACTCTCTCCAAAGTGCATCAAAGGGGCAACCTTGTTCAGCTCCCCCTTTAGGTACACTCTCTTCGAAGAGGGTATCATTTTCCTTGCAACATTATTCATTTTTTATTACTATAATTTTTTGGTTTGGGTTACAAAACACGTTCTCCTGTTTTCATGATGTAGATCTCATCTCCAGCAGCTTTGAGGGTGGGGGCACCTCTACTTTATTGATTTCTTTTAATATTGTTATTTATTTTTTTATTTTTATTTTTTTGCATCTTCTTTTATGGTTTTGGTTCTTCTTCCTATTGAAGGTTTGTATAACTATGTATACATGGGTTGCATTCCCTTGGTGCCCTTGGTGGATTGCTTTTGCCTCTTAAAAAAATTTCCTATTTTGATTGAAAGATTTAAAAAAGGACAAAGGAAAGAAACAAGGTAAAAATAGGTGTCATAATTTTGTTTCTGAAAGAAGGGTAAAAAAAAAAAAAAAAAAAGGACTATATAAAACAATTCTCTTGTGTGTGTGTGTGTTTAGCTCTTCTTTTTCCCCCAACATCTTTGAAGTCATTAAAATGATGTGGGATGGCAAATTTTATAAACAAAGTTTGACTTTATCTCAGGACTGATACCCACTGGGCAGTTGCAAAGGAGGAGTATATTTCATTAAGAAAGAAGGGGGAGGCCAATGGCTGAAGAAACACATGCCCAAGCAATAGAAAAAGGCCCAAATAAAAGAAGGATAGGGCACAAGAAGGGTAGTAAGGCAAAAAAGAAACCAAAAGTTTTTCATGGCACTGATAAGAAGGTTAAAATTGACAAAAAGATGAGAAAACTGTTTACCAAAAGGGCAAGAGAGTACAACTCAGATGATGACGAGGACTCTGCCTCTTTAGTAAGTGATGAAAATGAGCACAAGTTTAACAAAACAGAGGTACTAGATGGTAAATCTTCTGATGAGGAAGTAGAGGATCATGGGGATGCTAGTGAGGAAAATGAAATTTCCGAGGATGAAGATGGTGAAATTCAACCTGGAATTACGAAGTTTATTGAAGGTTGTAAGGCATTCAGGATGGCTTTCAAGAAAATTACAAGGACAAGTGTTTCTGATGATCTACTGGTAAGATACTCATTTATGATTTTTACTTTTGGTCTGTCACATGTATGAAGTTTGATGTCTTTGCAGGGTCCTGTATTATCAGCACACAAGAATCTCATAGCAGAGAAGCTTGCTGAAGAAGAAGTGGAACGGAAGGCCAAGGGAGAGGCAAAGAAGGAAAAACATTTGGTAGGTACTTTAGTTATCTTCATTATAATTTTCTTATGTATGATTAAAATTCTCTCTCTCCCCATGTGTGTCTGTGTGGGTGGAAGGAGGGATGGAGTCTGTTCGCGTGAGTCTATATGTTCACTCACACACACACGTGCACATTCGTTTATGTATTTTTGTTTTATTTTCTATAGCAAACGGATTTATGTTGTTTTATTTGAAACTGTTTAATCAAATAGGTAGAAGAGAAGGGACACATGAAGCCTGCTAATTTTTTGGACTCACATGAAAAGTTTCTTATAGGAGTTGCTACAAAAGGAGGTATTGGGTGTTGTTTCTGGCAGTATTTAAGTTACCAAAATAATTTTATTTTTTAATTTTTTTTTCCAGTCTCGTTGCATGCTCTTTCAGACTAACTTGGTTCACTTTTTTTTTCATGTGTTGCTGGAGTTCCAGTGGTCAAGCTATTTAATGCTGTAAGTTGTTCTGTAAAATTTGAAATTGTCTTCCTCTAATATCAAGAAATTCTGATTTGGTTTCATGAGAATTTTGCTGTCGCTTCCACATTTAAGCTGCTTAATTTTAGACTTATGTCATTCTGTATCTTAAACAGGTCAACAAGGCACAAAGTGCTCAGAAGGGATTGAATCCTTCAAGATCTAAAGATGTGAAAGGTATGTATTTAGAATCTATAATTTCAGTTTGAGATCTTTACGCTACCATTTCTTTCCTTACTTTAATGTCAGACATCATCTGTGAACTGAGAATAATTTGAAATTTTTGATTGGAAAGTTGTTTTATTTGGGAATGAAACTGATATATGTTTGTTATCTTGACATAAAACTCGATTATTTATTTCTTATATACTATCATGTTAAATGACAGTCATCACCATTGCATAATTTTTTGTTATCTTGTGGTAACTATACGTATTCCAGTGTTACTTGGCCACATCTTGCATACATTCCCATGCTCATGCTCTGTTCTATAAACATGGGGTCTAAAATTACCATTGTAAGTGGATTTTTTGTTGGTATCCACATCCCATGGAACATGCAGAATGAAACTTGTTGCTGCTTCTATTATATGATATTGTGGGATACACTGTCTTTTTCAATTTTATTGACTGCCAACTAAATTAAATGAATATATTGAAAAAGAAAATAGTTGGGGATTTTAATAAATCAGTTCCAATTGCTAGACTCCACAAACCCCCATTCTTTTTCGTAAGTACAGTCTACAGTCCTCCATAAGAATGTTAAGCTTATTGTTTAACATTACTAATGAATGACACTGAATTTGTAGAACCTATCACCTAGACATGATATATGAAAGAGGTCCTTGTTAATTTTATCACTTCGACATGATATATGATGCAATTCACTTAGAGATCATCAACATGTTAATAATTTACAAAATAAATATTTAATCTTGGACAGATGTTCTGCACTTCTTAGACACTCACCTACATGTAGTGATGAAACTTAGATTTAGGAATACTTTCTTTAGCATAAAAGTACAATTATAAGAATAAATCAAATTAAGGTTGATATAAAATTTATAAAACATTTAATTATATATATTTTTATAAAAATAATGTATATTATATAATAGATGTATCAATCAACTAAAGCAAGATTGACATTTTACACTAATAAAGCAAGATTGACATTTTATGACAACTTAAGTCTTATACATTTCAAATATGACCGTATCCAAATAGTATAAGTGTATAAAGCCACCTTAACAAAATGTATTACAAATAGGACAATTTTACTCTAATAATTTTGTGTTTGTGACAATTTTACACTAATAATTTCATATTTGACAAACTCCTATATATCTTAGGTCCAACTTACCCCTCACTAAGAATTTAATTTACCTCTTCCTCAAAATCATAAACCACCACCACCATCATCTTCTCCAGCGAAGAACCACCACCACCCACCAGTCCCCCACCTCGACCACCATGCCACCGCCCAAGTAATCAAAAAGACCACCAAAGGAACAACAAAAAATAAAAAATAAAAAATTGGAATCATCACAGCCTATGAACCAACACCACTCAACCTCCTCAAAATCATAAACCAACACCAGCATCCTCCTCTCCGGCGAAGAACCACCACCACCCACCAGTCCCCCACTGTCACGCCTCGACCGCCATACCACCACCCAAGCAATCAAAAAGACCACCAAAGCAAAAAAAAAAAAAAAAAAAAAAAATGAAATCATCACAGCCCAACCCACACCACTCAACCTCCTCAAAATCATAAACCACCACCACCACCATCCTCCTCTCCAGCAAAGAACCACCACCACCCACCAGTCCCCCCCACCGTCACGCCTCAACCACCATATCACCGCCCAAATAATCGAAAAGACCACCAAAGCAAAAACAATAAAATTGAAATCTTCTCAAGCCCGTGATCCAACACCACTCAACCTCCTCAAAATCATAAACCACCACCACCATCCTCCTCTCTGGTGAAGAACCACCACCACCCACCAGTCCCCCACCATCACGCCTCGACCACCATACCACTGCCCAAGTAATCAAAATGACCACCAAAGCAAAAAAAAAAAAAATTGAAATCATCATAAGCCTATGAACCAACACCACTCAAACCTCCTCAAAATCATAAACCACCACCACCACTCACCAGTCCCCCACCGTCACGCCTCGACCACCATGCCACCGCCCAAGTAATCAAAAAGACCACCAAAGCAAAAAAAAAAAAAAAAAAAAATGAAATCATCACAGCCCATGAACCAACACCACTCAACCTCCTCAAAATCATAAACCACCACCACCATCCTCCTCTCCGGCAAAGAACCATCACCACCCACCAGTCCCACACCGACACGCCTCGACCACCATTCCACCGCCCAAGTAATAAAAAAGACCACCAAAGCAAAATAAAATAAAATTGAAATCATCGCAGCCCATGAACCAACACCACTCAGCCACAAAAACTCTTAGAGAGAGAAAGGAGAGAAATTTATACACAAAATCAATACAGTGTCACACACACAATTGAAATAATCACCTGATGGACAGAAGCATACAAATAATTGTTTGTTCATATATTTTTCCAAAAAATCACATTCCAGATAAGAAAAACCAAAAAGATTACTTCTGGTTCGTCGACCAGTAATGGAGTTTTCAGTTGAGGAAGAAGCAGATGACAGCGACACCAATGAGAAAGACCCCGCTGTTCAACTGTTACCCACCCACCACCTCCCTCTGCTCTCCATGAACCAAAAAGACCTTTCTTCCCGACTCCAATTTTTTCATCTCCGGTCAATTTTTGGCGAACATTGACAGTGATTTCCCTTGATCTCGATTCTTTTTGTTTGTTGAAGTGGTTTTGATTTTGTAGAGTCGTGTGAATTGAGTCCTGAAAATTTGGCTTTGCACACAGTGAGGAGCAGAGCTAACTCAAGATTGGGTATAAGCCTAACCCTAGATTTCAATTGCGATTTGGAAGCAAGATGGTGGTGGAGAGCGGCGGTGATGGTGGCACCCCCACCCTCCTGCCCCGTTAGTTACTTCAAAACTGACCCCATCTGCGGCGTTGATGGCGTCACCTACTGGTGCGGGTGTGGCAACGCCGTCTGCACTGGCACTCGCGTCGCCAAGTTAGGGGTAGGTGGGGGGGGGGGGGTGGTCGGCGGTGGTAGTGAGAGGGGACCAAATGGATGGTCGGCGGTGATAGGGGCGGTGGTGGTTCGCCCGGAAAGATATATAACTGTGTGTATGCTCTTATATATAAATACAGAAAGATAGAGGGGGTAGAGAGAGAGGATGTGGATGGAAGTTTCAAAAGTAATTGAGGGTAATTTGGACCAAAAAAATATTTTTACCTTTTTGGTAAATATTTTTGTTTATTAGCTCTTTCACCTATATACCATCTGGATACGGCCTAATTTTAAATTTTCCCAATATCATTCTTAATAATGATTGAGCTAGTAGGGAAAGATATGATAATTTAGTTTAACTAAAGTTATGACCTTAAATCACTATACAGAACCAAAAGCCTACCAGTTACACATTTCCCCTATGAAATCTGAAAGAACCAGTAGACCTTTTTTTTGATAAGTAAACCAGTAGACCTTGTTGGTTTTCAAGTAATATATTCTCTCCTCTGCTCCCTTCAAAATGCATTAGATAGTGAAAAATAAATCTACATAGTTGTGGAATCTGCAAACTAGTTTACCTCAACTTACTGTCCCACTATTAAAAGTTTAAGTGCACAAGTTAGCAGATTGGGCAATGCGTGATATAGTGTTGTGGTGATAGAGCCAGTAGACTTTTATTTTTGATAAGTGTACCAGTAGACCTTGTTGATTTTCAAATAATATATTCTCTCCCCACTCCCTTCAAAATGCATGAGATAGTAAAAGATAAACCTACATAGTTGTGGATTCTGCAAACTAGTTTACCTCAATTTACTGTAAGTGCCCAAGTTAGCAGATTGGGGAATGCATGAGATAGTGTCATAGTGATCATTAGTCTAAAAATCTGTATCTCTGTGGCCCTTCAAGGCTATTGATAATTAAGAAACTAGATTACAGGAGATATTTCCTTGGGAAGAGAGTGAACTCGGATCAAGCATATCCTTCATACCTCTTTCAGGAGGAGTTAAGAAGACTGAGACTAAAACATACTGATACGGGGAGACAAAACAGAGCAGCACACGATATATCCATGATCTCTACATAAGCCTTCTAACCTCAGAAGCCTTGAGTTACCCACATTAATCCATCAACATTGACTTTTAACTGCATTTTAGAGGAGAAGGTTTTTTGTGGATGAGATGGATGGACAGAAGAGAGGCAATGAGGTAACATATCTATACTTTTTCCACAACCAAAAAACTTGGAGCAAACTAAGACCCTGCAGGGAAGGTTCGAATCCGATTTTCTCAATAACCTTGGAAATATATAATAATAAGCTATTCTGAGATTGTTGAAGTAGTTCTATAATAGTGCTTAATAGCAATTTTCATTTTGGGTCCTCCAAAATGAGGTGAGGTCAGCGTTGTCAAAGGCGCGTGCTTAGGCTCCAGGCTCATAAAGGCACAAGATTTGCGCTGCTTGTGTGCCCAGGTGCTCCTTTGACAACATTTGCACCTTTTATATGGAAGATGAATACTTTAATAGTAATTTAATTTTTTCCATTGTGCGCCTCATTTCACTTATGCGTGCGCCGCGCCTCGCCTCGCCTCGCCTCGCCCCTAGGCTCCAGAAGACCTCTAGCGCCTTGGGCCTTTGATAACACTAGGTGAGGTATTAGTCGAGGAAGAGGTTGGCTAGAGGGCTACGGAGAGTACTATTACAAATCTGCCAGATCTATGTCGTATTTGTATTTGGTTATTAATGATTTCAATATTCTTCTTGGTATGTGTTCAAAATTTTCTAGACTTATCTGACAGTTGGAAACGATAATTAGAGCTCCAGATACATACCGATACTTCTCAGATACTTCTAGATGCAAGTTTTACCTACCTCAAACACTATTATGTGGCAATTCTAGTATTTGGTCGGAATGTAATTGTAAGATAAAGTCATAGAAAGGGACTGACAATAAAAAAAAGAGTAAAGCACAAATTCAAAACTTGGACCTTTTAAAAAATGAAAAGTGAATATGATGGTATTTATTAAAAAAAATTCAAATATAATGGTGCTAAATCTGTTATACAACCCAGGTCTGTGTCCAACTGTCCGTGTAAAACGTACTTAATTAAAAAAAAAAAAACTGTCCGTGTAACGCAATCCTCATTTTCATCATGTGAATTTAAATATTTTGAATATTGCACATTGGGCTGCTGTTCTTGGGCTAGGCCTTGTATAGTCCCATTATTTACATTTTTTATTCTCTTGCCCATTCTGGACCTGTAGTACCTAGCTCTCAAGCTCGTCAATGTAATTGTTTGAATTTCCGTAAAAATTTTAAAAAAATAAACCATGGATAAAATTAAAAAGAAAAAGTAAAAATTGATTGATAATCATTATTCATATGTATCATGAGAAGCAAATAATTCCCTATGCTTAACACAAAGGGGCACACAAATTCATTGTTGTATCCCCATGGTATCTGTATTTTTTTTTTTCAAACTTTGATTAATATATATATATATTTTTGAAAAGGAAAATGTATTAGAAAGCGTTCAAAAGGAGAACGCGTCCCAAGCTGTACAAAAACAAAACGGAACCTATGAACTCAAAGAGCCTAAAAGGTCCACAATATCCACAATATCCTCAAGAGAAGAATAATCTCTCCCCTAACCCCAACAAAAAAGAGTACAAATAATAGAAAATTTCAGCACCCCAATGGAGGACTCCTTCCCATCAAAAGATCTTCTATTCCGTTCTTTCCAAAGGCTCCACCAAACGCAAAAAGGGGTCACCCTCCAGAAGTCCCTCGCCTGAGCCCCCACCCATTGGCCCCTCCAAATATCCAGCAATTCCCGAGAAGTCCGAGGCATGACCCAATGAATACCAAACAAACCAAAAATGAGACTCCAACAGTCATGGCCCACAGGACAATGCAACAGAAGGTGATCCACTAACTCCCCATTAGACTTACAAAGACCACTGATTAACAATGATATGTCTTCTCTTCCTTAAGTTGTCCAAAGTCAGAATGTTACTCCAAGCTGTAGTCCACACAAAAAAGGCCACCCTAAGAGGCGCCTTAGACAACCACACCGCCTTCCACGGGAAGGTGGTATAATGAAAACCAAAAAGGCACACAAAAAAGGACTGGACCTGGAATATCCCCTGTGAAGAAGGCACCCAAACGAGGGAATCTGCCCTAGTGCCCTCCACCTCCTGTCTGTACAAGAGAGCCAACAAACCAATGACATCATCCAACTCCCAATCCTGAAAAGATCGCCGGAAACGCACATCCCAAGACAACCTTCCGCTATCAAGGCGATAACAGTTAGCAACCGTAACATGTTTATCAACAGCAATCCTGAACAGCCTTGGGAACAAAAGAGCCAATGTCCTATCTTCGCACCAGGAATCCTCTCAAAACCGGACATTCCTTCCATCCCGAACTCTGAATCTAATATGTTTGGAGAATTCATCCCACCCTTCCCAATTGCCCTCCACACCCCCACTCCACTAGCAGACCTCTCTCCTCCCCAAAGCGACATGAAATAACCTTTCTTCATAATCTATGTCTTTCACTGTCGAATTTCCAAAGCCACTTGCCAAGGAGAGCACTGTTGAAGGGGGCCAATCTCCTAATCCCAAGCCCTCCCAACTGAAAAGGCCTGCAAACCTGCTCCCATCTGACAAGATGATACTTACCCCCCCCCCCCCCCCCCCCCCCACCCCCCCAAAAAAAAAAACAAAGGAAGTTACGTTGAAGCATCTCAAGTCTTCCAACAATGGAAGCTGGAATCCGAAAAAGCGAAAGAAAGTACGTTGGGAGGCTTGACAAAGTACTCTTCACTAACGTAACTTTACCACCCTTAGAGAGATATTGCTTTTTTCAACCAGCAAATCTTCTCTCGACCCGCTCAATCATCGGGTCCCAACTACCCACCCTCCTGGCCGAGTCCCCCAGCGGCAAACCCAAATACGAGATAGGGAAGCGTGGCCTCCCGCACCCTAAAACAGCAACCAAATTGTCCACCTGCTAAACCTCCCCCACAGGGACAAGCACACTCTTACCCACGTTGACTTTCAAACCAGAGACAGCCTGAAAGCAAACCAAAACACATCTCAGATACCTCAACTGGGACACCTCTGCCTCGCAAAAAACAATAGTGTCATCCGCAAAAAGCAAGTGAGAGATCTCCATCTGCTGAACCGAGTCAGGGCCGATCTTGAAGCCCCTAATGAAACCCAAGTCCATCGCCCTTCTCATCAACCTACTAAGAGCCTCCATAACAATAATAAACAGGAACGGGGAGAGAGGGTCCCCCTGACTCAGGCCGCGAGAACTGCCGAAAAACCTCGTAGGAGACCTGTTCACCAACACCGAAAATTTTGCAGTGGAAACACATGTAACAATCCATTTCCTCGATCTCTCACCAAAACCCATCCTCTCCAATAGATAGAACAGGAAATTCCAGCAGACATGATCCTAAGCTTTCTCGATATCTAACTTGCAAAGAACACCAGGAGCCCCACTGCAAAGTTTAGAATCCACACATTCACTAGCAATAAGGGCAGAGTCCAGGATCTGTCTACCCCCAATGAAAGCATTCTGAGACTTAAAATAATTCCATCCAGAACCTCCCTCAATATTGTGTTGTATATATATTTTTTACATGCTTATCTTCCTAGGGGCACGCAAATTCATTGCTGTATTTTTTTTTTGATAGTGTTGTCTCTTTATTTTGCTTACATGCTTATCTTCATAGGCTGGAAGGATCTTGACAGTTCCTCAAGAATTAAAAGGAATGATTAAAACTCAAATGCAATGGGTCATATATCGAGCAAGTAGTACTTATAAAAAAAATATATCGAGCAAGTTCTACTGTCTTACAATCCAATCTACATGAGAGTAATATGTGTGTAAAAGACACACACACACACACATATAGAGAGAGAGCCCGTCTTGTACTTTACCATATCACATAACAAATTTATTTATTCTGGTCGGGCAAATAGCGCGCACACCCACTTTACCCCTTTGGGGATTTGAACCCTCAACCTTTCACTTTAGGAGGTAGAGGAGGTACCATTGGGTTACAACTCGATTATTAATTCACATAAACTGTGGATCATGTGAAAGACTTAATTAACATTAGGAGGAGATTTATGATACCAGATCCATTAATAAGGTAATAGCTTTGGGGCTCAAGGGGTTTGGAAATGAGAGGAGTAAAGCATCTTCAAACAGATACACGTGACTCGAGGGACTAAACTGAGTTTGTCTCAGAAACATAAATGCCCAAGTGGTCTGATTGAGAGTGCAATTGACTAGATTGCCAGGATCCAGCCTATGGTTGTTTCCCCGTAAGCCATAATGGTCTTTCATTGTGGAATTGATATTGATCCACACTTACCATTTCAGCTCTGCTTATATCTCCATTCAATTTCTAGTTAGTAAACATTGTTTTAATCCTTCCAGCATTAGGGAAGCGGAGAAAACAAGCCTTCTTTTCAGAGTTGGGCAAGACATCATCCAGATCAGCTGAAGCCTCTGCCAAGGTTGGCTCTCTTTCTTATTTCCTTTTTATTTTTCCTTCCCACCCCATACACAGACAAATACAAAATTAAATAAATAAAAATATTCATTATGCTGTACCATTTTCTGTAACTTTATCTGTCAATTACCATTACGGTTTTATGATTAGCCTTTTAACGAGCTGGGAATCATATGTTTCATCATATGTTTGGCTGGTCTTCTGTAGGTCCATTCATCTACAGGCCCAGTGGATAGTGAAGGTCCTGCTTGGGCTCCATTACGTGATAATTATATGCTAACAAATTCCAAGTTAAAGGACTGGGATAAGATGCCGGCGGTAAGAATTTTCCGTTCACGTCCCCTTACATGTTAAATACTCTCTCTCTCATATCAGTAATTCTTATTCGTAATGAAATTTTTTGCTGCAATTTGCGTGTAGGATACAACTATGGCTGATGACATTGGAAAGACGCCACTAGATAGTTCATCAGATGATGACTAATTTCATAGAATTTCTAAAGGAGCTACAGGGTTACAGAAGATGTTTGTCCAATTAATTTTCTTGAACTTGTGGAAAACTAAAGCTGTGTTGCTTTGTTGTTACTGTCAAGGAATTTTCCCCCTTCTTGGCAGCTATTTGTAATGGATTATTTCATCGTTATAATAGATCATTGTCTTTTTTTTTCCCCAATTGTTTTCAGGTTCAAGTTCTCTTTTTCATTTATTGGTTAATGATTGGCTTTGTAGAAGTACTATTTATCAAGATGTTATGATTGCACCATTCTACTATATCTCACTATTCAATTATTTGAGATGACACCAAAAACCCTACCTTTTGTAATTATTGCGACGAAAGTTGCTGATCCATGCTGTTATGAATTGCTTTGGAAGACAACTTGGTCTCACAGGCATCATGAGAAGACTCTCATCTGTCTCTTTTACAATGCTCAAAACAGATCCAAGTTCCAACACCTCGTCCTTCGGCTTCTAACAGTCCATTTCACATGACTATACCCTAAACTGAAAATTTGGCACCAATTTCAACTGGTTTTCCATCATTCATTGCCCTGATTTTGTGTTATTTCAGATCTTCTCTATCTATTGAACATAAATCTCTGAAAATCATCTAATGATTTGGAAGTTGTAGGGAGTAGAAAAAGTAATGACAACCTTCAGTCGCACATTTTCCTTGTTTAACATTCTCCTACACGTTTAGACGTGTGTTTAAACGTTCTTTTACTCCTTGACCATCCACAATATACAAGTGGTGTTGTTTTCTTGTTCAAATAAGTGGTCATTTATGTGTGTTCATAATACTAGAAAATTGCGAAGTGGCTCTAATGTAAATACAATTCTTGATTTCCTGAATTTTAAATACTTTGTACATGCCTCAAAATATTTGATGTAGAGTTTTTCCTACGAGTAGATCCTCAACCAATTCAAGCATATATAGTTACATAAATCGACCACTAATTGAATAGAATAATAATGTAACTAGAAAATCAGCAATTACAGAACTGGAAGTGACACCCCAATCCCCAAACATAGGCATCACAGCCTTTGACAATAACCAAGCAATAACAGGTAAACTAATTTTGTCCCATCATTTTCAAGATTTAATTGCTACCGTTAACGATCCGAAATGAGGAAATAAGTTGAGATACAGAATGGATCTCCTAGAGGATTATTACAGATTAATGTTCCTCTCAACTGCACATACAATAGTTAAATGCTACAAGTCACTGAGAAAGAAAGAAATAATATCAAGTTTTTGTCATTTCTGGGAGCCCCATCTCGGCACCCATCTGCTCTCTGAACTTCATAATACTGATTCTGTGCTATACATCTCACATGAAAAATGATTGGATTGTTACAAGTAGTTTCACATCTAACCTGGCGACTGAATTTGAGTACCTGTCATCCTAGGCCACCCAAAAATGGAAGAGAAACACTTTGGCAGAATGAACAAGCAGCACATGTATGACTGGAGAAGGCCGATGTTCTTTCCTCGAGAATGAAGGTTGAGCATATTCCTTCAGAAACAGAAACGGAATTATAGACTCTTGCTTGTAATGAACAGATTTACACATTATCATCATCTGTTCTTTTTTGGTGATAGTGGATCGGACTTCCTGTCTTGGATTTCATTGGTGAAGCAATGAAAACAGCTTTCTCTGTGCCCACCTCCATGTACTACTGAAGACAATCAAAGCCCTGCGATACAATCATAAGATTTGTCACTGCAAAGGGAAATAATGCATCAATTTATTCCATTTTCCAAAGTAATATTAACATTTCTGTCCAATTTAACATGATCGTTTTTTCCTCACGAGTATGGTAAAAAATTGTACTTCGTCTCAGCAGCTTCTGGTTTGGTTCAATGGGTCATAATCATATGCATCACCAGCCTTAACGAAGCGTCCCTTCACACGCCTTCTTACATCAGCCCTTGCTTTGCGAGAGGCATACCTTACTTTCTTCTCAAATCTATAACAAGTTCATTGCAAGTGTGTCAAAATTTATGATAAAATAAAAAAGAAATAGAAAGATTGGAATTCCATACCTTAAAAACTGTGAGACAATATAACAAAGCAATGCACAAGCTGTTAACCTAACTACTCACGTAGTCATGTGCAATTGGATAAAGGAAATTATAAATGCAAGGAAACTAACAGGCATGTTCATTATTCAATGTAACTCTTTTGAAAAGGATTGCACAAGTCTTACTTGCGTGCCTTCTTCTTTTCCTTGTAGCGCATGACAGCACTATTCCTGCTAGCTGAAGAGTGATTTTCGGGGCAAGGCGGACACCATGGAGGCTCTCCCATTAGAAGCACTGAAGAAGCCCCACAGTCTTGATAATCTCCAGCACTACTTTCTCCAGTAAGGCCAGAAAAAGAGAAGCTGGAATGGGCTTGCCTTGTAAAACAAAGATTTGGTTCAGTTTTAGAGCTCATCATCGAATCAGCAGATGTTGCCTTGCTGCAAACTGGCTGCAATGCATTAACCAGTCTAGTTGACGACCCCTGGGGAGAACAAATAATCCAGCCATAAGTACATTTTAAATAAGAGTATGGACGCAAAAAAATGCAGCAAATGCCAAACATTGGCACACAGGTTCCAGCCAACTGCTCTGTGTCACCAAATAAGCTTATTTGAACTCTCAAGCACATCTACCAAATTGCCAAATACAAGCATCAACCGTTGGCAAGCACATAACTACACAATTACTAAGGGGAGGTGTTTTATGCCACGGGGAAAACTTTAGAGGGCAGTGATTATGCTGGCAACGAAATGGTGCTGGTACTCAATAAAAAGTAGAGAGGGATATTGACACAAAAACGCATGTGGTCGACAAATAGATATAAATCATTATATGGGTGTTTTAAGCAATTGTATGGAGCAGAGTGTTCGGCTTGGAAAAAGACACAAAAACAATGCATTCATGTAGCAAAATGAGGATGCTACGTTAGATGATAGGAGTAACTAGAAGAGATAAGATAAATAATGAACGATGATTTATTCAACACTGTTTTAGTCCTATTGATATTAATTGCCGATATATTCATCAGAATGAAACACAACTGATTGTCAAAAGAGAGCACCAGAAACTGCGAATCAGGAGATTGTGTATTAGGGGCCACGATAATTAACACATCACACAGACTGTGAACCAGGATCCAATTCACACGAGTTTACACAGCATATTACAAATTTCTGTGCATTATGGAATCTTGTGTGCAACAAAGAGAAACAAGCATGAGAAGACTTGATATGGTTCACATTGAAGAAGTTGAGAAGGGCAACGGAAAGACCCAAAAGCATGTATTTCAAAACTTCGTTAAAGAATTACGTATACCTTCCCACATAGTTGGAAGTTCAAACATGGCTTGCTTTTTTAATAAAGTTAAACAGTGTTGACTCAATGCAACAAATTTGCACACATATTCTGTCTTAGTTCAACTTCTACCCATCAATTTTAAAAATTTATTAATACCATCACAATAAAATTAATGCACTTTAACTCCACATGCGTACACTGCCTAGCATAGAAAAGGTCCATTACCTAGTTTGGTCCTTGCCAGTGCGAGGTGCTGAAAATAGGCCGATGCATATATATTAAAAAGTATACATCAAATTAGTGTCTATCAAAAATAGCCACTTCCAACATTTATCAAAAAACACTTATGAACTACTAATGGAAATATAATTTAATCAATTTACAATATTATCTTAACCAGAATAGGAAACACTTTCCCTAAAATAGTTTGAGGAATTTGGCCAGTATGTTCACGTGTATCATACCCACTATATCAAGGGTGCAACTTGGAAGGGCCAAGCCAAACCTAACCTGATTTTTCATGAGATTGGACAGCATTGATTAAAACTTGGTTCATAGCGGGGTTTGAAAATCCTAGTTCAACTTCTACCCATCAATTTTTCAAAAAATTGACTCAGTGCAACAAATTTGCACACATGCAAGAAATTTATTAGTACCATCACAATAAAATTAATGCACTTTAACTCCACATGCGTACACTGCCGAGCATAGAAAAGGTCCATTACCTAGTTTGGTCCTTGCCAGTGCGAGGTGCTGAAAATAGGCCGATGCATATATATTAAAGAGTATACATCAAATTAGTGTCTATCAAAAACACCCACTTCCAACATTTTTCAAAAAACATTTATGAACTACCAATGGAAATATAATTTAATCAATTTACAATATTATCTTAACCAGAATAGTAAACACTTTCCCTAAAATTGTTTGAGGAAGTTGGCCAGTATGTTCACGTGTACCATACCCACTATATCAAGGGTGCAACTTCGAAGGGCCAACCCAAACCCAACCTGATTTTTCATGAGCTTGGACAGCAATGATTAAAATTTGGCTCATAGTGGGGTTTGAAAATCTTAATCCAAATTTATTTCTGGTTAAACTAGATTGAGATGATAGGCAATCTAAAGCAAACCTATATTGCACATCCTGAAATTAACCAAAATATCAGCCTGACCTGAAATATATATATATATATATATATATATATATATATATATATATATAATTACAAAATACAATTAGGCTATAATAGAGACTTTAGTTTTTTTCCCTGTTAGTACGGTAAGATGTTAAATTATTTTTCTTCCCTAGGTGGAACTCTTGCACCCACTTTTTGTCCCAAATGAGACTTGAACCCTCAACCTTCCATTTGAGAAAGTGGAGGAGATACCACTCAACATTCCATTTTTTTATTTATAAATGGTGACTTTTTATTTTATTTATTTATTTTTTGTGGAGGTTAAACAATTAACTTGAACTCAATCAAAGTTCAAGACAAAATCTACCTGAATTCCAACCAAATTTTCCTAATTAGAACTCTTTCAAAGATTTGACCGCAGATTGAACTCAACTTAGAGAACTAGAGTTCAAGGTACCTCAATTGATTCGTATCTTAGGTTGGGCCCAGGTTAAACCCTCAACCCACCCACCCTACCCGAGTTGCAGTCCTACACTATATTAAAAATATATATAGTTCAGAGCATGCAATGACAGAAAGACAAGAACGTTATAGCTGGCTAGAATCATAAGATGGACGTAAAGCAATAAAAAATGAGGTAAGAACCTCATAGACATCTGATCCAGAAAAACACATTACAGAGTGTACATATCTAACACAATGTTGACAAGTAAAAATAATCCCATCAATTTTTCATAGAATCTGCTTAACAACCTTATGGGGGAAAAAATCATATCCACCAAAAAATTCCATTCAATCAAAATTTAGTGGACAAGAGATATGGCACTTTCTCAATATAATCATAAATAGATGTTCGAAATATGCATTGACAAACCATAAATAAATATAACAGACAAAGCCCCAAAATCACTAACACAGACAAGCAGCTAAAATTGAGAAGGATAATAAGAATAAGTAAAGAAAGATAAAAGAATGAGGTGAGAGAACCTCGGCTATACATGCACCCTGACAGTTGGAATCAGCACCAGGCAGGTCCTTCATACCAAACAAGCTATCAATCCCGCCATTTTCAAAAAGCTGTTCTGTATTATCGAATGCTACACCAAAGAGTTCTTCATAATTCTCAATATTCAAGTCAACTTCATCCATATCAAGGTCCCCATAAAAAGCATCATTTTCACATAGTCCAGGTGCTTTTGATCCAGTATTGCATATCTTCGTATTGATTAGGAAAAAAATTCAGAATAGTTCTCAAGAAATGGAAGCAAAACGACAATATCAACATATACAATATAACAAAAACAAACTAGAAACTGAATTCTTATTCCGAGTTGGTAATTAATCTGGAATTTAAGCTATTGCTGCATACAAAGATACAACCTTCTCTTTAGCAGCGGTTACTGCAAGGCTACAACTATAAATATGTCAAATTAAATTATCCAGAGACAAAACTCAAAAATAAGGGCCAAACAGTTGCAATTGCAGGCTTGGTGGGAAAGTCATTAAAGGCCAAAAAAATGTCTGAAGAATAAAATAAAAGTACCTCAGAAAACACACACAACATATCTCAAACATTGTCCTATTTTGGAACCATGGGAGACAATAACTAGCTAGAACTAAGACATGCGGTGAAGGTTTTATGAAACCAATTGACTTAAAAGCCAAAATAATGATCATCTTTTCCTATTTTAGCAATTGATCAAAGACTTGAAATAGGAGACGAAAGTCCTTTATGTGGTATATATGGTTCTAAAAAATCCAAGGGTGGTGGAGCAATCCAACAACATCAATCCCAAAAAGAGAAGAAGAAAAAGATAGAACCATACTCACTTTTGCATGCCAGAAATATGTTTTCACAGTTTTGATGGTAGATTGTTCAGGACTTCAGGTAGCCAAGAAGTTAGTTCCTGGCATATCCTAAGCAACAATTTTATCTACCCAATTAAGATAAAAATATTCATCAGTTACCTTGGGTGATGTTGCAATTGCTGATCCAGCTGGTTGGTCTACATCGTGTGGCTTGGTATCAGGTTGAGACATTGAAGAGGAGCCCATCAAGACGCCTGACTTATCCATGTTATTTATATCACTCACTTCAACAAGGACACAGGCATCTTGTGAATTGTTATTTTCTGGAGGGCCCTGGCATTTCCTTATACTTTTATCACTGATGCTCATTGAACCCAATCCCTCCTCAAAACTAGAGTCACCCAAATTGGGGATATCCAAGAGAAATGACCAGATGGTAGAAAGTTCTGCCGACGAAGGGCAGCCGGAATAACAATTAACTGCTAGTCTCTTATGCGTGGAACCCAAGGAAGAACCGCCATGCCCCATCCAATCGCAATCCTGACAAAGGGATATTCTCTCTTCGACACATCTAAGAAATGCAGGTTGTGAATTGCATCTTTCACACAGGAGGGTCCTGGAATGGCGTCGTGAAAGGGCATTTGCAGAATGGACATTGCGGTCACAGGACAAACATAAGGAAGCCAAATCCGACCTACAATACACCATGGATCTTTGCTCCCCGCAGAAGTCACATATGTAACCCATATTTTAACTAATTTTCCTTTTATTATACCAAATTCTAGACCCACAGGGAGAGACAAACAATACAAAAATTTCTGAACCCTGGTCACACTATATATCAAACATATAGAAAGTAGCTGCTTAGACAAAACATGAATCCCCCACCATTTCGCAAACAGAAGATCAGATGGAACACAACTCCATATTGTCGCTGTTTCACAGTCAAATCTGCATTAAACAGGTCAAATGTAGAAATAAGAAATTTGGGATTTTTCATTACTGGATTGCACGGATATGCTTTATTTATCTATATCACTTTTTTCCAGTAAAAGTAAGTAAGGGTCCACCCAAGATATCCAACTCATTACTAGTGTTCTAAGTTTGTGTTTTCTACTGGAAGCATGCATTGCTGAGCTACTCAACTCAAAAAATAAAAAATCACGGAACAAATTTCTCTGCTAAAATTGTACAGTATCTGAAAGGTTAAAATGCCAAAGACATAACAGTTACAGAAGAATTTTATAAACAAAACACATAAAAGGTTCTCCAACACATTAAGCATTTAGAATCCAAATTTAAAACTTTAAAAACTTTATTTTTGAGGAACTTCTACAGAATATAATGGGCAAAGCTTAAAAAGAAGGAAAATGAAGTATTTTCAATTAATTTCCTGAGTATGCAATGATTTATACAATTTCAAGAACCTGGAGTTTAAACCCTGAAGTAAGTTTGCTTATTTCTAGAAAAACAGAACAAATAATTCCTAAATTAATCCAGCTTCAAATCAACTCACCCATATATAAAAGAAGACAAAAATCCAATAGGCTGATACAACACACAATTTTATACGATTTAACTTCTAAAATTCTAGAAACCAACATAAAGATCATAATAAACTTCCAAAATTTACACACATGCAAATATTAAATGCTAATTAATTTCAGTAGGTAATTAGCTGTAAATTTCTGACCCACCAGAAACAGATCGTCACAGCAACAAAACAAAAAAAAAAAAACCAACTATTGCATATAAATATCAGAAACACAAAAAACTACAAATAAATCAGCCCTTCTTCACTGACATAACCTCAAATTATCAAGAATCTAAGTTATCTAACCTCTTTACACATCGAAATGAAGATAATTTGAAGAAATCACCGATTCACTTACCTGTTTTTCACAGCAAAGGTGGCCGAAAACAGTGAACAAGACCAACAAGTATTGAGCTTTTTCTGACTACTTTCATACACAGAAACCCTAACAAAAGATCGACCTTTCCAGAATCTCTCTCTCTATCTCTCTGTGTTTTGGGAGAGCTCTTGGTGTTGTAAGACTTTGTAAGGAATTCTAACATAAAAACAACAATAAAACTGATAAAAAGTGCAAAGAGAGAGAAAGAAAGTAGAGAGAGAAAGAGAGAGGGTGGGACCCTGTCCCTCTCGTGAAAGAAAAGGTAAGGCCCCCACCTTTTTCTCTTCTCCTCGGTCCCTCCCCAAAAAGGTGCACTTTTTTAGTTACACTAAAATATTACTATATATTTTGCCAGGAAAAAATATATATTAGTATATTACTATATACAAACATATATATTTTTTTTTACAAACATATCATATGTATACAAAATACACCTATATAAGCATAGATACGTATGTACATATCTGAACGGCAGGGTATGAAAAAAACAAAAAAAAAAAAAAAAATGCCATTTGATCAGATCAATAAGTATGCGTAGCTGGACAAGATTTGCAGCAGTGATTTTCCGTTTTTTCGATTGGGGAAATGCTTTGTAATATTATCTTCTATTTCATGTGTTTTATATTTAATCATTTAATATCATCTTGTATGCTTCAAAGCATGATGATGATTTAATATATATATATAACCTTACTTCACTAACTTATTTAAAGTCATGGAAGAAAAAATAAAAAAACATTAATATAAGAGGCTTAGATTGAGATTCTTCAACGAGCTTTTGCATAATTCATTTTCTAATTGATATACAATTTATGATGTCATTTATTTTTTACAAAATATTAAAAGCAAAGTATAGTTTTAAAATTAAAACTTATAATTAATTTGATTTTGGGCATGTATAATAACATAATGTGAAAGGCATTCAATAAAAAATACTGAATTTTTTAAAACAAAAATAAAAAATTTATTAAGGGTGTATGAAGATTGACTTTAAAGCTAAGGTTGGACATAAAACCAAATTAATGTTTTTTTGGGTCGGGCCCAAACCAAGACTGACCAGAGTAGGGCTCAGTTGTCAATTTGACAACATGCCCCTCATAATCCTTGGATCTAATGTCCGGGTGTACAAATTTAAAGCGTTATCTTTTATGATTAGAAAATAGCATCACCTATAAAGGAGAAGAAAAGTGCAATGACAAATGGTCGTCATTGGAAGCGAGTATAGGTAATTATAGGCAACGAGAAGGAAACAAATGATGAGAGCTTCTTAAACAATAATATTGTTTTAGATAAGGCAATTGTGCGTAATCAACCACTTGACCGACAATGATTGGACACGTGAGATTCAACCCATTAAGCGATCCAAAGTTCTTTCTTTTTCTATTAGCAAATTCAAGGTTCATGCCACATTCTATATTCGTCCTACTCATGTAACCTACCTCTTTTTTAAACCACAATTGTAACCTTCCAATTCCAACAGTAAAAACTGGAACTAACAAACCTGAAAATACAATTTCAAATTTGAGAAGTCTTTGTATCTCCATCTTTTTTTTTATTTTTCTATTTTTTTGGGCCTACAAGAAAAAAAAACAGTGATGGTATGAGATGCATACTTATCATGCTAGAGATTGGATTCTCTTTTCAAAATCGCAACAACGGTTTTTACAGTCAACCTTAACGGAACACCGAGCACCAATGTTCAAACTCAGGGCAAATTGCGAGTAGTTCCCGCCATCAGTAACCTATAATTATACTTAAAACACTACAACATTTGTGCGGTAGACTTTTCACATAATCATTTTGCATGCACAAGTGTTGAGAATATTACTGATCAGCGCCCGACAAGAAACACTACCTGGTTAATTAAATCAATGTAATTGATACATCACGCAAGAGACGTAACAACGTCAGACTAAATCGGCAACCTTGTGGCCTCCATGCAGACAAACCTGTACAATTACACCTTAAAACTTGGTGATGGAACTCTAAAGAATACAGGTTCTCACTCAAACCTGTCTGAGAAAACAAGAGTGGATAAGATCACCTGTATTGTACAACTCGCAATGTATGAAAGGTGTTTCACACAAGAGATGTTGGTGGTTTTCAAGCTTTTATCTTTCCCAGACTAACCTTTCAGCAGTTCCAAGCTTGAACCACCTGGGAAGCACATCTACAGAGCCGTATAATCCTAAAATATCCTACTCTAAGACTTTCAACTGAAGCTCTGATTTCATCAAAAAGTGGTTGAAGTAATGCCTCCTGTGATGCATCAGCTGGAGCCTTTACCTGAGACGGACTGATCCCGGAAGGGTATATCCCCCTGTTATGGACCAAGTCATCAAATATGTCAATGGAAACAATCAAAACCAACAAGGACATATATCAACATTAAAGGCTGGTGAGCAGTACAAAGTCGAAGTGAATGATGACAGAACAAATAACTCAAACCATGGCAACACCGATAATGGGACCTATTCTCTATATGCATTTAATGACCAATACCAAAATTATTCAAATGAATTCAATCAGTCTAACCATCTCTCTCTGTCACTCTCTCTATCTGCATGGAAGATGTATAATTACGCCTCTTATCTGAATTAACAACCAAAACTTTCTAGTTGTGCTCATCTGTCATATGGGATTGAAATGGACTGGATAAATAATACAGGGATAGGTGGTCCCTGGAATAATTATTTCCACTCTGGCAATTTGACAAAGACGGGATTCAGCCAGACTGGAGGAAGGATATCCCAATTTTAACTCAATCCAGCATTTTATCATGATTTTCCTCTTTATCACATGTCCCACAATTCAGGATAACAACCCTCCCATGATACCAAGCTATCCCATGGAGGCAGGATGACTAGTCCGTTTTACTGGTCCCGTAAGAACATAAAGCGCACCAAATGCAGGATAACATGGAACATGTGTTGCTCATAGAATCATATTCTTATCCAACAAAACATATGCAGCCTCAAACATTAGACTTCAATCCACAAAAGTGGCGGGATTTTTATGTTTTAAAAGCCAATATGACTTCAACATCTATGAATTTGAAACATACCAAAATAGAAATAGTGAAGCAATGAACAAGACAATATTTAACGGTGAAGTTGAATGAAAGTGGCATGTTTAAAAGCAACGGGATCCATGTTTACTTATCTGTTGATTTAGAAAGTCACCCTTTTGGGTGAATATATATATATATATATATATATAGAGAGAGAGAGAGAGAGATCCAGTTCAGTCCAATGTTTGGCCTAGGAATTATCCCAGAAGAAGGCCACCCAATGATGGGTTTCTCTCCCAGGTAGGTGCACCAAACAAAGGGCACATTTTCTGGTGGAGACTTCTTTACGTGCCTCCTAAAACAAGCAGAGACTGGGTCCCCACCATTAACACACAGATATTTCTGAATCCTCGGGGTATCATCTGCACATTAACCAGTGCCACTTGGTTACACCTCCATTGATCTACCTCCTCAAGGCATACAGACCAATCCCTAGTGCAAGCCTAAAGCATGCTGTGCATTGAATGTGGACCTCAACAAGAGGTTGTTACCGAAGTGAGCCCGCCCGCAAACGGCCTACCACAGTTCCTCCAGAGTCGAGTGCACTCACCCAAATGCATTGATGCCTATCTGGGTCGACAGCAGGACCAAGGTCTGCAGGTTAACTTTGCCGTTGCATTAAGATCAGCTGAGATTTTTCAGGTTCCTTGGTTTCATGGATGGAATAGGGAACAAGCCCAAGTGTTACCACACGTCAAAGCCTGGAGCAAATGAGGCTGCCTCCCAGCCTTAAAATGGTGCAGACCTCTTACCTAGTGCTACCACAAGAGCTCTGTAACACTGATGGTTGTATTTGCCCATTACTCACTCCATTAACAGGTTCCAGCATTCCAGATGGCAGGTCCAAGTGGTTATTTCAGTTTGCCACAAGTAACTTGTCAGTTAACATCATACACCTGAACATCTAGATAAGCCATCCAATCTGTCTGATTTGGGAGAAAGAAGATTAAGCCCCCAGTGCATGGGACTTGCCTTGGTGTTGCTTGGGCTAGGAAACATATTTCCGGGGCCACCACTACTAAGTACTAAACTTGCTCTCTCTAGATTGCCCTGCTCTCACCCAGGTTGTTATAACCCACACCATTCTCTGCATTGTTAACTCATTGAAAAGAACCCCTAACCAACCTTCTACAATAAGGATCATTTTGTGAACAGTACACATATAACTAATATCATTTACTTCAACCTACTAACTGAAATCATCAATAACGTGATGTTCAATTAAAAGTAGAAGCTTTGGTAGCAGCCGAACTTTTATAGACAGTCTAAAGGTTCATGAAAAGAAGAGGAATGCATCACATTTGAAACGATAGTGCCAAACACTCAAGCCCATATGAACATGAAAAATGGAAGATTTCAACCTAATGCCAAGGGAATGATTTTTACTTGAGGTCCATGGTATTAGGACAGAATGCAAGCTCAACGTAAACACGAGTTGCCAGTTGCAATTATTAAAGGTCACAATGGTCACAAAAATTAATATACACAATTGCATATGTGTGTACATTTACTTTATCTGCAGGTAGTTTAACTGGGGTTGTGGTCTTACAGCAGAATGGCAGAAGATTCATGTAGTCAACCCTAAATAGTTGTGAAAAGGCTTTATTGAGTTGTTTCTACATTAAAGTACGTGCAAATTTATGTAAACATGCTGGAGCAACCATAGCAAGACAACGAGGAAAAAGGTAGTTTTGGACGATGTTCCCTAACAATACTACTAGAATTTTACAATAGATACACCTGAACTCTTTTTATGACTTTCTGTATTGGTCTCAGAGGATGTCACGAGGGCAAACGAAGGTGTACTTTCAACAAATTTCCAGTATGCCAACCATCAATAGATAGCACTGTCTCACAGATCATAGGAACACACAAAATTGGTGGCCATATATAAGTAAACTGGTGAAACACAATTTATACAACCAATGCAAATAATAGATAGGCAATATAAATATGGATCCAAATATCATGAATCTCAACAGTAAATACATATAAGTGACTTGAAAGGGTATGGCCTAAAAAATCCCTAGACATGGTAGTATTTAACTCTGAAGTCTGTTTAGCAGGGTGTTCATAATAATTGATGCAGGCCATAAAAGGCTCAAGAAAAAGTAGGCTCACATAAAGGATAAATCCTAAAAACTGGTTCAATTTCGATATAGGACCACCAGGGGACCTCTTGAAATCAAGTTTTATTATAAAGCCAAATCTTGTTATAAGAATCTTCTTTTAAATTATTTTATTTCTAGTTTAATTTGGTATACGTATTCTGGGTCAAGGGTATTTGTATAAATGCATATTCACTGGACTTAGGATGTAGTTGTTGCTCATGAATTATACTTTAGATCAAATTCTGATATTGATTCTTTATTTGTGGAGCTTAGTAGGTTTGTGTGGATTCCAAATTTTGAATATTCAAAGTTTCTTATTTGTAAATATGGACAATGGAGTTAAAGTCATATTAAAGTTAGGATTGGCTAGAAATTTATATTTAGCTATGTAAATGTATAATGTAATGCTTAAGATTCAATGGATACCAAGTACTAGAGAAGCAATCCAATGATCATGCTCTTCCATGCTTGAGTTGGATACAAAATTCTAGGAGAGAGTTAGATTTTTGTTACTTGTTCCTTGCTTTTATTCAATTTACTGCACATTTCAGCCATAAAACTCTCTCACAACCAAATATATTTTGATTCCTTTTCACCCACAAAATTCTATCCATCAAACAATTACCCTTCTTACACATCCCAAAACGCTATATTTTCACCACTTTTTAGACAATTTTATCATAACCCATCCTAGAAACCAACTTTTGTGATAGAATTTGCACGTGTTTTCACTTCCGACCTACATCATCAAGATTAGGAAAGGGAAAAGCAAAAGAATAAAATCAAGTTTTTTTTTGGGGGGGGGGGTTGGCATCTAGACTTGGTAAAAAAAAAAAAAAAATGGAAAAAAGAAAAGAAAAGAAAAGAATTATACCGATTCAAACATGACATGTCAAGAATCAGCATAGCCTTCCTGCCACTATGAAAATTGATGAAACAGAGCTGCAAATCAAGTTGCTCAACTGCAAATTTAAGAAACCATGGAAGGCATTTAATCATACACATCCATGTACATATGAAAAAATGATCCTCAATTATAGCTAAAAATTATAAAAGAAAAATAGGGTAGAATTTGATTTCTATGATGCAAAAGAGTGATCATAATTCACAAATTATAGAATGAATGAAAATCGAATTATTAATGCTTTTGAGAAGAACAATGCTGCACTTCCCGACTTTGCGACACCAACATATAGAGAGGGGTGCGTGTGGGGCCCACCACTCCACACCCCACTCTCTCTATGTTGGTTACCAGTGTCGGGGTTTTTAGACTTTTCCTTTTTCAGAATGAATTAGACTCAAACTGAATTGCCAGGTAAAGTCCTACAGTTCCATTAAAAGATGAATGATCATAAATATATACAAGAGAATTTAGTATATTCTAAAAACATCAGAAAATTTGATGGAACTAGTAATTACACATGTAAGGCTAGGCCATTTTTATCGCGAGAGAGATTTCAGCTAAAGGTCACTACTACATGACCTGGTAAGTGAAACATTGTTTATAATGCATACATGAGAGTAGATAATTATGATATGCTTAAGAACTATCCAGGTCAAAGATGACTGCAAGTCTGTAACAACAAATTCAAATTTTAAGCAGATGCATGACAGGTTTATTTGAATAAAAACAAACATCTCCTCATATAGCATGGATCTTCTATGGAGGGTATCATATCCCAGTCTAGCACCAGTAAACGATTATCTCAATTGTGGCTGACACAGATTAGAACCAAACATTAAAAAATTTAAAATGAGTGCTTCATCTGTAGACCAAAAAGGCAATCATATAAAGAGGAGTAATGTTACCAGATGAAGAATTAAAACTTGTCTGGATCAGATTTTGGAGTTCCAATTGTGCTAGTTGTACCTCCTCAACCACATCAAGCAAATTGCCTAAAAGTGAACCGGTTATCTGCACAAACAGTACCAAAATAAGAAGTGCATCTAATAATGAAAAGGTTAAGAAAATAAATAAATAAATAACACTGAACTCTTATATGTTACAACGCTCAGGAACACCTAGCAAGTAGTAATCCACAGTTACAAAGTACCTCATTAAATTTATTCTGCTGTCCAGACAAAATGCAATAGAAACCCAAAGAATCTATTGCCTACAAGAAATAATGTCAGATAACATCGCACAAATCCTAGCTGAGTAGTAGGGTAGACAGAATCTAGTAAAATTCAAGCACAACTCAAACTTGAAGTGAGTTCAGCCAAAAATGTTTGAACTCAGCTCCACATATAGCTCGAGATTGAGTGGTTTACCTAACAAGTGAAGGCCAAGCTCAAGTTCAAGCTTGTACTTGGTTCATTAAGAATTTGATTTAGGCTCCGTTTGTTTGAGAGTAAAACATTTTCTGAAAAATATTTTATGTGTTTTGAAGTATATATATGCCCCCTTGTTGATAAGCCAACCTGTTTTCTCCTTGCGTTCACTTTCTTATCAAACAAGTTTGAACATGTGGCTTGAGCTTGGTTTATTAGTATAACAAAAAAAGCTCAATCAGCCCCTACTCAAACCCACTACACATGTCAAACAGCTTGGTCTTCTTGCAGCCCAAGCAACAATATCTTTTAACAGCGGGGCAAAGAAAACCAGGCCAAAAAGATAACTCTTAAAGAACTCCTAGAAAGACAAACAAGAGAATGCAACAAAGGGATAAAAGAACTCACTTGTGTTTCTTGCATCAGACTTCTAGGACCAACATATTTCTGAGTGGTATCACCATTAAACACAAATGCAAAAGCAGTGCAAGCATCCAAATTTGGAAAAATCTACTAAGCAAAAAAGCACCGCATTAATTGATATAAGGATGACAAACAATGAGGGTAACATCTTTTGGAAGGATAAAACTGCAATACCTCCAAGATCTTTACATTATTCAATTTATTTGAAATAACTATGCTTGAAACAGGACCAACATTTATTGTAAACCTGTAATCATCAAACCAAGTAACATTACTTCACTACATTATTGTTCAGTGATACAAACAAAATTTTGCCTTATATTATCTTATCACAAATTGGAGATGAAAAAATAATAATAATAAAATAAAAAATCTAGCAAAGCAACCTCTGAATGATGAAACCGAGGTAGCTGAGAACAATATTGTGATGACAGTTCCAACTCTCCAGATTATCAACTTCCCATAACTGATGAAACAACAAACAGTATGTCTCTCAGTTACATAAGATATTGGTATTATAAGCAGCAGCAAGAAACACATGAAAAGTAAAGACCTGCAAATCAAGGCGTAAAGACCTGCAACATGCCCTCTTCTTCAAATGATCATTGACTAATTCAATAGTTTCAGCACAGTTTGGTTCTCCCTTCATCTTACAACAAGTTTGAAAAGATTTGATCAAGTTTGAAATTTTTCTGTCTGAAGCTTCAAATACCAGCTTCATTGCAGTGATTCTGTCAAGGGCAGCCTGGCATAGAAAACAATATGAACCTTACAAGAAATCAACTTTTTGTTCCCTCGACACTTGATCATATTAGATGTCCATTTTGGGGACTAGAAGTTTTTAAGGGAGCATGCAATTAACGCATAGTCTCCTTTTAAAATTACTAAGTTGTCCTTTCAAGTTTGAAAATATATATATATATATATAATCAAGTTGGAAATTTTTTTAAACTTTAAGGGTATTTATGGAAAGATGTGAAATCTCTTGTTTGAACTTTTTAAGTGGGAGAAGTATTTTGGGACAGCTCAAAAAGGAAAGATAGACAACTAGATTGGGACCAGGGGAGTATCGTACAAGCTGTTCAAGCACAGTTCATTAGTATAATTTCCAAGACAAACAACTTTTACAACTCTTACAATAAAAAATGAAGAGAAGAAAGTGAAGCCAAACTACCATATTCTAGCATATTAAATGGGAGGAGATGTTCACACTCCCCTTTCTTATAAAGCGGAGTTGTCTTTTCTTAATTTAAATGATAAAATGCCCCTAATAATTGATCTCTTACTTCCGCATTAGAGACAATATTGTCATTTAACTTAAAAAGTGGATTGCAAATATCGCCTCCTTATTAAATTACCTAGATAAATATTCATGCCTTGACAAATACAATTCCTATTATCAATTAAACCAAAACAATGAATTAAAGGAAACATACAAAGAGATATAACATGAAAGAGAATATCATCATCCTTTGTAGATCATTGAGGCATATTAATTGGTTGAGAGAAAGGAAATCATACTTAGGCAATATCGTATCTTTTCTTCCTAGATCCACCCCCCCCCCCCCCCCCCCCCCCCCCCCCCCCTTCTCTCTTGGCAGGATACTAATGAAACCCAAATTCTGGAGAAAGGTTTGGGTTAGTGTAGGTCCTGTAGGATTGACTTTGGAGAGTAATGACCATACCATTGAGCTAAATAAAATAGTAAACTCAACACACTCCCCCCCAACCAAAACCACCCTAAAAAGAAAACAAGCACAGAGAACAAAACTAAGGCATCACTACTGCAAGTAAAATTCCCAGTTACAGAGATAAAATGTCCAAATGGAATCTTAATATAGTTTCCTAAAAAATAATAAGAAGAAGAACACAATGGGTTGTTATTCTTAGATAAGCAAGGGAGATTCATCAGGTTCTTTCATGTCCAATAAGAATCATCAAACTTAAAGAACGACTTATAGCCAAAAAGGATCCATTAGTTTTCTCTTGTCAAATGAAGGAAGAGACAATGTGAAAATTGGAGGCTGCATTTGTTTCTCTAAGAAAATAAATCAGAAAAGCGTACAACTTCTAAGTGGTAAATACATGCTATGAAGAGGGGGCGCATAATCAGCATATATATACATATATATATATATATATATATATATAAATAAAAAGCAACTTCCCCAAAATACGAAGGAAACCATTTCTATCACTGGAATTTCAATTTAGTGAACTACGCAAATATTCTACATCAGGCAGCAAAGTGCACGGAGAACTATAGGACCATATAAAGGAATGTGCTTTTCTGTTTGCCAAATGCAGCCCAATTTTTACGCAGTTCAGCATTTGGAGGATTAGTTTAAAATTTCTTTTCTTTCAAGAGATAAGATTAGACATGCAATAATCAGACATGTAGGATTTAAGTTAAGGTTTCTCAGAAACCCTCAAGTATAGTTTGAGCTTTGAAGAATCCAATTCTAGAAAAGAAATTGTAAATGGGACAAATGAAATGCAACAATTAAACTAGTCAATCGGTGAAATATATGGCTATATATATTATTGCCATTATGAAATTATTTTTTTCAAAAATTCTTAGTCTTCTGAAAGGAAAATATTAAAAGGATTCATCAAAATATATTAAAATAGCAATTTAACAGCTCAATGGCATATAAAACACGACCACATAATAATGCAGATATTTATACCTCTTCTGTGCCCCTGAAATCAACTGAAACAGATTGGAGATGACTACCATTAACTTGAGCATTCCTTGCAGATGATGGTACAGACAAAAGTGGCAAATAATGCAATTTTAACTTTTGAGATTCCTGTATTCCGGAGCTCACTTGTTGTAACTTTTTCTGTATGTAAAAGAGAATTGCATATTAGAAACAATACATACATTTGAGAAGCAAATTACACGGGTAAACAATACCAGTAATATCTCTCGTTTCAAACAGCTCAATTGCAATTTGGCATGTCTATGCACAATTCTTTGCAACAACATCGATGTCTCGCCTATTCTGCATAAGAATCATCCATAAATTTAAACACAGAGTAAGCCAAATTAGATATTTTTCCACACATTAGAAGAACAAGTGGCTATTCTGTAACACAAACGCAGGATGTGAATCACCTTTTATGATGAGAATTACTGAAATGGTCAAATGTTTTCTGCAGAAGGCAGCACAAGAACTTCATGTTAGCAGGACGGAAACTAGTCATTGCTTCTTAATTTATGTGTAAAGAACAAAAGAAGCATGCAGGTTGCAAAATTATAATTTGCTTAACATTTTTTACAATTAACTCAAAATAACCTGGTGAGCTAGCAACTTGGGGGGAGGGGAGGAGAATTAAAAAAAAAACCTGGTGAGCTAGCAAACCTGAGATCGAATATCAGCGCAAAGCATCTCATATTTTTTCAACCTCTGTATACCAACCAAAGTATCTTCCAGCACATCAATCTACATAATAAAAATATATCAAATAATGGAAGGAAAAAAAAAAAGGGTATGCAGGAAAAGATTCAAAGTAGTGAAACTTAAAGCTCCTATATATAGCTAATAAATATACCTGAACCCAAACAACATGTTTAGACTTTAGACATATCATACTCTAGGTTTATGGGGAAGAAGTGGAACTTTAAAAAAGAAGGTAGTATACCGCTGGTAAATTAAGCTTATCAATTAATGGAGAAAGCAGCTGTTTTGTATCTCCCGTAAATTTTGAGAAAACCTGCAAGGTAGAAACTTAGGGTAAATTCGGCAGGGAGAGGAGAGAAAAAATCTACTCTATCTTTAGCAAGTACAGCTAGGCAATATAAAAAAGTAGCAAGGCATACATACATCAGCCCAATGCTTCAATTTTGTGTCACCTCCAATGGTGGATGTTTCATTTTTACTTTTACTAGGATATTCCAACAATAATTCTGAATCAAATCCCCAACTTTTATGAACTTTTGGACTCCTTTGGATCCTGGCGGCTTCATCCAGATAATCTTGGTCCCTGGGTATCATTTCTTCCCTTGTTCTCTTCCGTGCAGAAAGGCTCTCAGATCTATTTGTCAATAGATTGGAACTGGGATATAGTACATCTTCCATGACAAAGGAATGGGAATTGTCACTCTCCACCACATCACAGAGTTCTTTCCCTGAGAGGCTTTGACTAAAACATTCCACCAGATTCTGAATGTAAGATTATGCAATTGTCAAAAGACATTCAAACCACCAATACTATTTACAACCACAGCAACGTTGTGCACAGGCCACTCAAATAAGGATGCCAATACGGCCATTTTCTGTTGTGAAATGATAAAGTCCCTAGGTGTATTATACAGTTTGAATTGAGATGTGAAATCTTCCATGGCTGGCCCATGCACAACCGCATACTGCTGCATATTAACAGAATCATGTTAGGCATGTAAGTGAGATAATATAATAAAATAATGAAAAACAAGACCTTCCGAAGAGGAGTCTCATTAGCACTCCTACAGGCAAATGGAGAATCAGAACCACCAGAAGAGGCCTTTATCCCTCTCGCAGAAAGGACCTTGCTAAACCTTGCTGGGTCTGTCCCAGTTTGGAGATTACTGCCCACAATTTTAGATTGAGAATTAGGGGCGTCCATATCCATTTGAGGGGTTTGGGAGTTCCCCATGGTTCCAGATTCATCTTGCAGACCATGAAGCTTGGTATATCTGTCATCCATCGTTTCTGCTCCGGTGAAGTTCTTGGAATGATTCGGTTTGATGAAAGGTGAGCTAGACTGTGCTCTTACCATAAACATATGTTCCGAGTTATCAACAATTCTAGAACTAGTAACATTTTTAATTGAATCCACATCTTGTACTGGAGAAGGAACAAACTTATTAGGTGTACCAGTTGATTTCTTATCTTCTATATAGTTAAATGTGATCTCTGCCAACAAGGAATCGGTTCCAGAAGTAACCAATGTCCCTTCACTTGGAGTTTCTGATAGCAATGGATTTTGCTGTGTCTTCTGTCCTGAACAATTCAACTGAGAGCGTGAAGCCGCAGATGGTGTAACGTCAATAGGTTGATCTCTTAAAAGGAACCCTTTAGACATAGGATTTTGAGATCTTCCACCTTTTACAAGGCCCGTGGACTCTTCAGGATGAATTATATCTACAATGTTTTTTGCAGTTTCAAAATCATTTCCATCCATGTCGATCAAGCTCTTGTTTTCTCCACTCTTTTGAGCAGCAACTAATAAATTCTCTTGAGAAAAATCAACGGAAGCATCCACAAGTTTGACTTGAGCATCATTGTGGTTTTTCTCCAACAGAGTATCAAAGGGAGGAGTCTTAAAAATATCTGATGTTATAAGTCCTGAATCAATCTTAGCTTTGAGAGAAGAAAAGGGAGAAGTCTCAAGCATTTTGAGTTTAGAAATGCTTTTCTGAATGGACGATACACTTCCACCATGTTTTCTGGTTGAATCACTTACAAAGGAACCTGGTTGTTTCCGGGAAGGAGTCGCATTCCATGAATGTTTGGATGGACTAACACTATCCATGAATATTTCTCTTTCTTTAGCGAACGGGGATATGGACCCTGTCCATGGAGATCCATGTTCACTCCGTGCAACCATATCTAACTGAAGAACTTTACTATCTTGATTCAATAAGGTACCACGATTAACAGAAGATAATTCCAAATACGGACTCATCATTTCAAAAGCATCTTTAACAGAGTCCTTACTCTTACCAAACAGCTTGCCCTACATATAAAACTATAAAACATGAACATAACCCAGTGCAATAGTGCAAAAGAAATATACAAATTGTTTGAATATTTTTCAACTTAAGAGAATTTACTTGCAATGTTTTATGTGGGAAAACAAATAATTTAATGAATAACTGATCCAAACAAAACAATGATCATATGAAAAGGCAAACTAATGTGTATGAAATATGCATCGTGCTTGTGAGACAGTCTGATATTGGTAATTGCTAGAAAGTTTGAACATCAACCCACTTGAATATCAACCCCAGGAATGATGGAGAAGGCCTTTTCGAATTGAATGAAGCTTGTAATGGACAATACATGATGTGCCAAGCTTAATGACATTTAACCAAGCTGAGGTATAATCCTGTTTGCTAGCTATATGATTGACATGAATGTTGAATCCGATAGTAAAGTAAGCTTCCTATAATTAATTCTTTATTTAAAGAAAATATGACAAAAAATAAATTAAAAAAAGCAACATTAAGCAAACCATAAAATACACCCATCTACAGGTCAATAAAAGAAGTAACGCAAACACAAAGATCTATACAAGTACATTTTACGATCTAAAAATAAAAATATATCTACATATATACTTGAAATTTTAGCAGGAACACAAACAAGAAGACAGCAAAGAAGGAACAGAATGCAGCACTAACTAAAGTAGGAATTGCATGATTTGGAGTCCAAAAGTGATCAAAGTTAATCATTTGCATGTACTACATAATCATGTATCAGACCCAGAGTTGACCTCTTCATGAGAGAAAACCATTTCAATAACCAAAGCATCAACAAAGCAAACAATTTCAAAAACTAAAGAGAAGAGTCTGTACCTTTGCTAACTTATTAGGTGACCAGTTTGGCTGATTGATCAAGGGATCAGAAGCTGGAGCCTCATGTGTATTAGATGAGAAATTGTAAATGATCTGACGAATAGGAGAAGATTTAGAACCACCATTTGCCTCACCCAACTCATTATGAGCAGCAACGGAAACTGCCTCAGCTGGCACATCATGAGTACCAACATGGCTCATTCCTTTAGCTCTATCGTCATTTAGCTTCATTGGGCCACCCCAATGTCTCTTTGATGGTGAAGACTTATTTCCAGTGCTTATTGGTGATTTTGAAATACTGGTATTATGAGAAAGAGGGATAGTTTGCAAATCCTTGCTGCCTTCAGCCAAGAGGGCATTCAGTGCAGGAGACAATCTACCATAGTCATAACTACGAGGGTTTTCTCCAATAAGACTCATATCATTAGAATCACTACCCCCACTTACTTTATTAATGGGCAGATAGGATTGAGAAATAGGTTTCTTAGCTTCAGTTAGTAACATGGAACTTCCTAGATCAGTGGGGATGGTATCCTGGGTTGGTGTTTTCCCTTCAAAGGAAAGGTGAACTCCTGTTGGGGTCTTCAGGTCTCCTCCTGACTCTGACCTTGCGAGGCTACGGAAATGCATTGAGAAAGCAGTTGAATCCATGGTAATGTCATGATTATCATCTGAAGCTGCAGAGTCTGATAGCCGTCCAGGTCTAATAAAACTAGCTGATACAGGGCCAAAAAAATTTTCTTCTGCAGGAAGAAATTTAAAGAACAAAAGTACTTCAATAATCTTCAAATACATTTATTATGCACACAGGAAGTTTGACAAGATCATTCTAATGTGAAGGAGAATATAGAAAATTTGTCCCCGAGGTTCTGATAATTAGATCAAAAATCAAAATTTCTCATTCTTGCTTCCATTAGTACTAATATATTTTTAGTAAAACATATATGGAATTACAATTTTAGAGAAAGGGAATGATGCTTTCAAATTATATTAATTACGGTAAATTACCCTCATCTCCCCTTAGATTTGGGCTTATTACCATCAAATTAAAGTTTTGTGAAAATCTTTCTCACTCCTTGTTAGAGTTGGTCAGATAAACGGTGTTAAATTATTAATATAATCAACATTTTTACCCTCATATAATTTTTTATAGTTTTTAAATAAATAAAAATAACAAGAATTAGTAAAAATCAAAAAGACCATTATACCTAGTTGAGTCTCTTAACTTTCTTTTCATAAACATATGTGTTACAAATTTACAGTATTTGCAAGCAAACCTATTCTCTCCTCTCCACCACCGGTCCACCACGCACCTCCGCAGCTACCAAATCCATCAGTTCTGTTCTCTTGCATCGCCATTGTTTCTCTCTTTACACCCTTGCCTCCTCTACTCCACCATTGTACCCGCTTCCATTTCTCTCTCTTCCCTTAACCACCATCGCTGCCAACACTCATTCCCTTCTGAAATCCCCCATCACTGAAACCTAACCCCAAACCGAATGCAGTTTAATTTATCTCATCACCATTGCCTACCTGTTCTCTGTCTCTCACACAAATGCTTCTCTCTAAAAGCCCAACCGCTTCAACTCCACCACAACCCCATCTTTGTTATCCATCTGCAACTCCAAATCAAAATTTTGTTTGCAAATATATATTAATTTATTATATATATATTCTTGGATCTAAATAAACTATATATATATATATATTTGGCCCAAATAAGATTTTTTTTGGTATAAGCTGAACTTGGATGATTGGATTGTTCCCTTAACCTCAATCTGATCTCCAGCTGTGTATAACAAGAAATAATCAAATGTGGACCTTTGTTCCACCAAGAAAGTTACAAGTATCAATGGCCTTGTCGCTATTGGTGATTGTTACTGTTAATGGGGAAGCGAGCTTAGACAAAAGCCATGTGAGAAAGAAGAGGCCATGAGAATAGACCTGTATACAAAAGATACGTAGAGTGAATGGTAATGGTGGTGGTTTTTGTGAAGAAATTAGATGATTAAGAGTCTTCCAGGCTTTCCCAGTGTGAGCTATTGTGAAGAGAGAGAACCTCTCTATCAACTTAGATCACTGTTACTATGAAAGAAAGAAGGAACAAAAGGGTATTTTAAAATAGTCCTTTCTATATGGTAAGGTCATTTCTGTCCTTTTGCTGATAGAGGGTGTTTGTGGGGTTTAAGGAAAATGCATTAATGGTATTATCAGATATTTAACAGCAGGGGAGGTCAAGGAATTCTCGTGCAAATCTTAGGGGAGGCTGACCAAAAAAAAAAAAATTCAGCAAATTTAATCCACATTAATTATCTCAAACTTCAAGGAAGGTCGGCGTAATTTACACTATTAACGATGACTTATATGTATAGAATACAGAAATTTCTAGAAGCTCGAAGCTTTATAGATCAAATTATTGTCCAATACTGATATGCATCATGTGAAAAATACCAGTTTATCAGCCTCCAATAAGAAATTTGTCCACCAGCAGTAAGGCACTTAAGTGAATGACTTCATATACAACGAAACTGAAATACCATAAATTTTAATATGTCAGTATTCTACAAAATGAATACGTGTAAAATTCTACTTCGCCTCAGCAATACATGACACGGGTTTGCAACAACACTGTCAGATTTTTGTGGGATACACTGCTTTCTTATTTTTCCTTTGTTCTACTTCTACTCTTTTGTGTCTCTCTTATTTCATCTCTGGTTACAAAATCATCCATGAAGCCCACTCCACCATATGTACTTCAAAAGCAAGCATAATTGCTGAGTTTTGAAATCCAAACTATTTCTGGAGCACACCCCTCAACTCTGACCAAGCCCAATCTTCTTGGTCTTTCCTCTTCCCTTCACCAAACCGTGCATCCTTCGCCATCACATCAATTTGAATGTCTCCATTAAACATCTATTGTGCTTCTTCTTTTTTTTCCTAATTGGTACTCACACACACTTGTCTCTTTCGAGACTTGAACCCCTGACCACTCTTTGAGAAGTAAGAGGCTGATACCGCTAGACCACTGGCCCATTGGTACGTTTATTGTGCTTCATTGTAATCTCACTATTTGAGTCCTTTCTCGGTAAGCATTTCAAAGAAACAAAGTTACTGAGACATCCACTGTTATTTATAAATAAATTAAGCTTGCTATAATCTCCATGATATAGAGAGGAATTTTGTAAAAAACAATTCGTATTATTATAATAATTTCTGTAACTTTAAAGAGCTCCAAATGATGGTGCAATCGGTAGTTGGTATGAGCACGTACCAATACAGCTCAGCAAGTCAAATTAGTATCAATTTAGAGATGACTTATTTGTGCTTCCAAAAGTTACCTCATGGGCCATCTTACCCTACTTGGTAATAAAAGGATGGCATGAAAGCAAATCCCTCAGAACACAAGAATTAAAATGGCAATGGCATGACCCCAAATCAAGAATCAGATGGTAGATTTGGAACTTCCAATCAAGCAAAAAATTGCAATGTCCAGTCCTTAACGAATTCAATATCAAATCATTTCTTAGTTAATGTTGTACTCTCTTCAATCACAAGAACCAATAACCCGTACTTACAACCCCACGTTTCATTCAAAAAATCTCCAGCCTTATTATCATTATAGCCTCCCATAATCAAATTAACATAACTTAAAACAAAGTTTTCTGAATCCTTTTAACTGAAGAAAAGTAAAAAAAAATCCCAAATGAACTTCATAGGATTCTAGTCATAACAAATACCTTAACAAATCCCCCCAGTAGCCAATCACTATGCTACATAGTCAATAATTCTAGTCACAAACGTGTATGTTATTGTTATACATGTTTAAATTGATTGTTAAACCAGCTACGCAAAAACTAACGAAAAACAGATAGTAGACCCCAGATCAAGAATCAGATGGTAGATTTGGAACTTCCAATCAAAGAAAAACTTGCAATGTCCAGTCCTTAAGGAATTCAATATCAAATCATTTCTTAGTTAATGTTGTACTCTCTTCAATCATAAGAACCAATAACCCGTACTAACAACCCCACATTTCATTCAAGAAATCTCCAGCCTTATTATCATTATAGCCTCCCATAATCAAAGCAACATAACTTAAAACAAAGTTTTCTGCCTCCTTTTAACTGAAGAAAAGTAAAAAAAAATTCCCAAATGAACTTCATAGGATTCTAGTCATAACAAATACCTTAACAAATCCCCCCAGTAGCTAATCATTATGCTACATAGTTAGTTAACAATTCTAGTCACGAACGTGTATGTTATTGTTATACATGTTTAAATTGATTGTTAAACCAGCTATGCAAAAACTAAAGAAAAACAAAGATAAAATTAAAATAGAAAACTTGCAATCAAATGTGTAGTGTGTGTAACTAAGGAACTTGCCATCATTGGATGTGGCGGAACCAATGGTACTTCCAGGAGAAGGCGACTCCATCGGCCGCAGGAAAGAGCGCCTGTCATCGAATTCATCGCCATTATCTCCGTCCTCTTCTTCATTCTGAGAGGAGTCCTTGAAGTCAAGAAAGTCCAACTCATCATTGTGTTGCCCTAATTCGGGTTCATCGGAGCTAGGTTTAGAGTCTGGAGGTGTCTCGTAGTCGTCGTCCCTGTCGAAGACGTGAACCGAAGTAATCTCGGCGAAGCTCACCCGCCTCGACCGCTTCTTTTGGATAGCGACTGTGCCTTCGTCGGTCTCGGTGTTGCAGTGCTCTTCGGCCACCCTCGAGCCCATTGCGATCTGAAGGAACCACTGGATCGAATCGAAGGTAACGAAATTGAATCAAAATCAGTAGAGGATTAGTTGAATTTTGGAGTTTCTGAGACCTAGGGTTTCCGAAGGAAATATGAAAGATTGTTGTTGGGAGTGCATTTTGAATTTCGAGTGAACTGCGAAAGTGAGAAAAGAGGGAGAAATTTATTAAATGCGCGAAACCTATGGTGTTTAAAAATTAAACTGCGCAGCCCAAGTAGTAAAACTTCAAATTTACACAATTACACCAACTAAGATGTGCAACTAATTCTATCATTTGTGAATTTTCGGAAAAAAATATATATACATTCTATCATTTGTAGTTTCAGACACGAATATTAGGAGCATTAAATTATTATTTTTAGTTAAATTACTCCGTATAATACAAATTGTCATACTTCTCAACTTCTGGTTTTTACGATTTATGAATATTGACCAGCAATAATATACTAGCATCATTACACGAAGAGCTTTAAAGTTTACAAAATAATAATGGGCTAATTTCAAAAAACCCTATTACTTTTCGAATTTTGATCATATACCTCCAACATGTTTTAGAAAGCTCCTTACAATTTATTAAAATTATCACATTGCACTTAGTATTCGTGTCCGACCCGTTAATTGAGCTTTTAAATGACATATTTTCGGCGGTCACTGAGCTTTGTTTATGAAAGTACTCGTCGATCAAACCAATCCACCAATTCTTCAAATCACTGATATTCTAGAAGAGTATGGGATTGAATCGAGATTTGTTAGAGGCAATCTGAGTCAATTTGCTCGTGAGCTGAGACTCGGGTTCGATATCGAGTCTGTGTTAATTTGGACCTTTGAGTTGAGCTCAAAGTTGGTGGTTTGTGTTATTATTGTGTTTATTTTTGAACTCTATGATTATATTTGATTGATTTGTACTTGCTTTTAGGGTTACACGGATTAAGTTGTTGGTTTTATAGGTGATGCCTGAATCAGTGCACACAAGGTGCTCAATAAAAATGTTGAACCAACACTTTAGTTTTTTACTCGAATTTCTGAAGCAACAATGCCCTCCTAAGCGGGTTACGCAAGGCGGAGCCAAAAATTTTAGGTTGGGGGCAGAATTGTACTGTGTAACTAAAGTTTAAAAATTTTATAAATCAATTGTAATGTGATTTTTTATAAATACTAGTTCTAATATATATACTTTGAGAAAATTCAAAAAGGAGAAAAATACAACTTAATAATAGATGAAAAATTGATATTAGAAAGGAAAATATAGAAAGAAAAAAAAAAAAAAAAAAAAACAATAAGTTACAATTAAAAAAAGAAGATGTACAGAAATAAGTATTTTGAGATACTTAAATTTTCTTCATCAACTGTTTGAGTTTTTCAAATCTAATTTTTGAAAGAAAAATTTCGAGTACTCTGATTTCACTTAGGAATGATATACCTAGATTAAATATTAGAAAAAAATAATAAATTTTAACTAAACAAAATAATTTTAAATTAAACAAGATGTCAATAAAGATTGTTACAATTCTAGATATTTTTCTTGTGGTTATCATTGTACAAAAATGTTTGACAACAAATGCAATATTTTTTATTAAACATGACGGAACATTAGCGATTTTTATCCCATTTTTCTATCTCTTTAATTAATATTATCAATATTGCACATGTGTGTATGTAAATAAATTAACAATGTGTTACAATAACAACTATAATAATAATGAACTTATTTACAATATTCGAGATTTTAAAAACATAATTAAATGGGTTCAAGTATAACTTTTTTTAAATTTCAAGAATACACATACTAAATTTATTTTCGAACTCTCTATTTTGGGGTTAATTTTTAAACTCTCTATTTTGGGTCAATATGTAATTACTTTGAAAATTTTGGGGGCCAATTGAATTTTTTAATGATTTTTAGGGTTAATATTTATAATTCAATTAATATTTAAGAGATAGTAATAAAAATTTTCAAAAAGTTTAGGGTGGCATGGCCCTACTGACCCCTAGCTCCGCCCCTAGTGTTACGACTGGACAGAGTACTCATGCCAATCGTTAAGCTAGTCAAGCCAATGTCACACCTTTGGCTCAAATTCCCCCGACTGTGAAAGAATGGTTATAATCAATATCTCCGTGTTTCTGCCTATTCTTTATTTATTTTGTTCTCACCATTAGCATAGGTTTGTTTTAGAGAGAGGGAGACGTGAGATTTTTAGAGAGAGAGAAAGAGGGGTTGAAGAATAAGACAATCCCTTTTATTAAAAAGGTATTTTTGATATTTTTTTAAAAACTAATTTTTAGTTTTAATTTAACATTAAATAATAAGATCAAAATTGTCATTTCACAACTCGGTTAACGGGTCGGACACGAATATTGGACCAGTGTGATCACTTATTAAAGTGTAGAGAATTTTCAGAAATAGATAGGAGGTTTATGACAAAAATTTAAAAGTAATGGAGTTTTAAAAAATTAGCCCAATAATAATAATAAAGAAATATATATATTATAATATTATTATGTTATCTACTACTTCTCTCCATGGACTTGGGCTTAGGCCAATTTCAGTCCATATAACAAGACTCTACTGAAAATATTACATTATCACAACACTTTTTTAATTCTCTTCTAACACATATGTAATTAGAAGACAAAAGTGAATATCATTTGTAGTTTCAATTGAAAAAATACATGCTATTTAAAATATAATAAATTTTATACTAATATATTATGAGATAATTAATGATATGTTAAAAAATAATTAATTAAATATGTAACTTTATATTAAACATACAAAATAAAGCAATAAAATAAGAATAATAAATAAATAACTTGGACCAATGCTAGTATTGGGCACTGTGTCCTTAACATAATTTACACTCCACATGTGCTAACGAACTTTTATTAAATTCGTGGATAGATCGAACTTCTTTTGTCAACTAATGTATCTATATCTATACTTTATAAAATATGAATTGGCCGGTTGGATCCTCGCCATATGGCTTGGACCAATTTCTATTTGGCTTGAGTCTACTGGTTTTGGATCTATGTGGCACCAACCACTTGAGCACATGACTTGTACAAAAAGTAATTCTACCAATAATATAGATATTAAACTTGATTTTAGCCATTTGGCTAAGACCATTTTACCGCATAACGGAGCCACATGGGTTCATGTGGATGTTGGCAGAAAGGAGAATGAGAATTATATGTATGAAAAAATAAAATAAAATAAAATAAAATAAGAATTCTACGTGAACTCTTAAAATGAATGATTGGAGTATGACACTAAAAGGGGATATTTTTAGGTGTAGAAGTATCTTTTCATATTGGGTGTGCTTCTTCAAGTAGGATGTAATGATTCAGAATAGCTGTGTCTGTTCATTTATAACCATTCCCAAACACCTCCTTACCTGAATAGACACCACCTTTCTCACACAACACTAACAATCACCAACCTGATGTGTTTTGAAATTTTTTGTAATCCAAAATATAATTAATTACTACAAATCACTAGCGAACACTATGGTAGACATTTTTATTTCACACACCACTTCATTTATAGACTTCCTGATAGACTCGCTCCAAATTTCTAACAATTTCTTCATTGTAACTTTGCTAGTTTTAAGTTTTACCGTATTTATTTATGGTAAAATGCAACCGAAGGAAGAAACTTGTTATATGAATAACGGTATCATAGTGCTTGTGACTTTCTGTATTCCACATCCATATTATCTTCTCAGATTTCACACAGACACACATTTAATGATTATAAATTGCTACTTGAGGGTCAAGGTTGAGGAGTGAATATAATAAGAGGAATGAATTATTTTTATTTTTATTTTTATAATAGGCATAAAAGAGGAGGAAAGACAAGACGCTTTTTTTTATTTATAATTATTTTATTCTTTTATCTCTTTCTCTGTATTGATAAGTAAATAAGACAAATAGATTATTATAAAAGTTTTAAATTAAATACTATATAATTCATTTAATTTTATTTATTTATTTCATTCAAATAAAATTTTTTTTTTCATACCTAACGAGGTGCGATTCAAAAATTTTCTTTCATATCTAACGGCACGGGGAGATTCTGAGTGTGAGTTCCATCACATAACATTACGAGTCACCTGATATCATGTGATGAGTCTCACTCTCCACTCACATAAATTTGATTTGACATTGTCAGAGTTGGCCTTTACAAATTGTTTGGATTTACAGCTTTAGTATGTGTGGGTAGCAGGATGAATTGAATGCATTAGTATTTAGTGCTATGTTTTTTTTTAAATTTTTTTATTTACATGGAGCCGAGAAAAACTAGCAGTGATATTGGAACTTCGCATGAATTAAGGTGAGATATAAAAGAGAACCCTGTCTTCTCATACAAATTAGAAAGTTATCATTATTATTATTTATTTAATTTTTGACTAAGGTTTATGAGGATTTTCCCAGAAAAACAAGAAAAGGAAGAAAAAGCTTTTTTGGTATTTTATCTTTGTATAACAAATAAAGATGGCGAGAGGAAATTTCCCTGCGCAATGAGTTATCAAAGAAATTTTTTTTTTTTTCAATCATTACAAGGGTCAAAGGAGAAAAATCAAGGGCGGCAAAGGCCACAATATCCACAGCAAAACGAGTAAAAGAAACTGTGGCTTGGATTTTTGTCAGATTGGGATTTGCGGAGAAAAATCCCAAAAAGGCAAAGAGTACATCACAAAAGTAATGCATGAAAAACATTGTATTGTGAAAATTAGTTGAAAATAAATTAAGTTTGTATATAAAAATATATAAATTTTACTTGATTCCCTCAAAGAATCTAAAATTATATTCATGAGTTAGAATAAATAAATACACTTTGCATAAGAATTCAGAATGTACAGCACTCAAAGAATCTAAAATTATATTCATGAGTTAGAATAAATAAATGCACTCTGCATAAGAATTCAGAATGTACAGTACTTGTCATTTTTATACTGTGCATTGCACTGCAGCAAACGTTGGGTCCATTTAAATGGGAGGATTCCAAATGAATAGATTTATATTTGAGTAGGTGAGAAATAAAATTTGATGAATTTGACAAAATTATATTTATAAATTCCAAAAAACAGGTTATAAGTAATTATTTGAAATACAGGCGGACAAAAAAATTAACATGACCAATGATCATAATTATAGTAGATTTCAAATAATAAGCCATCATAAATAGGTATTTGAAATACATGCTGATTTAAGTTGAGGAATGATTGATTGTGGTAAAATATTTATTATATATATATTTTAATTATATCATCTTATGTAAGTCACTTGATTTCAAATTTATTCTTTCTTAATCTAAATAAAACCTTAGTGATCAACATTGCTGGGGAAGCCAATGCCGTATAAAATAGTAGCCAATTGAACCAAAAATATGGGGTGGAACAATATTTATTCAATCGATATTAAAGTTTAGAGTCCATATATTTCATGGAATTTTATGGTGATTCATTTTTTTCTTTTTTAAAAATAAAAAACCAAAAACAAAAGAAAACAAGTTCACAAACTAAGATAAATATTTTTTTGGTAAATGCAAATAATTTGTTTATTAACAATAATATGCATGGATAATATATTGTGTTTTTGTGTGGTGTTGGGGTGGTGGGGAGTGATCTGTGGTGATGATTTTTTGTTTGGCAGAAAGTAGCAAGTGGAAATTAAGAGGAAGGTGTCTCTTCTTTAATAAAGTAGGTGAAGACTTGATATGACAAGTCCTTTTTTCCAAACACGTTCAATTGCCGTTCAGTTTACTCTAGGTTGTATTGACTTGACTTGAGTTGACTCAACAAGTTCAATAATTTCCTGGAAGTTGCGCACAGTACTTGTGTTCATCTAACACGGTAAATAGGATCCCATTTTGATATTCTTCTATATAAACACCACCTCTCTCGTAGCCCTGATTATCATATATACTTATATAAGTGCCAAAGAAAGAGAATTTTATATAAGACTTTATACATCATATAATTTATAATGGGTGGTTGCTTACCAATATTATTCTTGCACTACTTACTCTTCTTCTTACTCATCATCACTACATCTCATTACTCCATGCTTGTTCAGTCTTTGCCTTCTCTCCAGCAACAGAACCCACTCTGCCACCACGATGACAGCTCTGCTTTGATTCACTTCAATCTAAGCCTTTCAATTAAAAAGTCTAGACCAATATCTATGGATCCTTCAGCTTATCCAAAGGTTGCATCGTGGAATACCAGCAGCAGTGATTGTTGCTCATGGGACGGTGTCACCTGTGATGATGACACCGGCCGTGTCATTGGCCTTGACCTCAGTAGCAGCTTTCTCTGTGGTTTTATCAACTCCAACAACACCCTCTTCCGCCTTGTTCACCTTCAAACACTCAACCTTGCTGACAATTGGTTTAACGACTCTCAAATCCCATCTGCTGTTGGACTTCTTTCGAGGTTAACTTATCTCAATCTCTCATATTCCGTATTTGCTGGTCAAATCCCTTTGAAAATTTCAAATTTAACCAAATTAACTTCTCTTGATCTCTCAAGAAATTCAGTGGAGCTCCTTAAGCCTGGTCTAACAAGCTTGGTTCAGAATGTGACGAATTTAGAAGAACTTTACCTCAATGAGGTAAACATATCTTCTACAGTACCTCACATTTTGGCTAATTTTTCATCTTTAACTTCTGTACTTCTCGAAGGTTGTCAATTACAAGGTGAATTTCCGGCAGGCATTTTTAAGTTACCAAACCTACAGTTTCTTAGCGTGCAGAACAATCCAGATCTCAGAGGTTACTTGCCTGAATTTCACATGAGGAGTCCACTTAAGGAATTGGGACCGGCGGGAACAAACTTTTTTGGAGAGCTACCAAATTCAATTAGAAATCTCCAATCCTTGTATAAATTGGACATATCAAATTGCAATTTCATAGGGTCAATACCGGCTTCAATTGGTAATCTTGCAAAACTCATTTTTCTGGACCTTTCTAGAAATAACTTTTTTGGAGAATTGCCAAATTCAATCGGATACCTTGAATCTTTGAATCATTTGGATATGTCATTTTGTAATTTCACAGGGACAATTCCGTATTCATTTGGTAATTTAGCACAACTCCATTATTTGGAGATGGCAGGATGCAATTTCTCAGGGCCAATCCCGTCTTGGTTTGGTAATTTTTTACAACTGCAATATTTGGACCTTTCCGGAAACAACTTTTTTGGAGAACTGCCAAATTCAATTGGATTCCTTAAATCCTTGAATCATTTGGAGATGGCAGGATGCAATTTCTCAGGGCCAATCCCGTCTTGGTTTGGTAATTTTTCACAACTGCAATATTTGGACCTTTCCGGAAGCAACTTTTCTGGAGAACTGCCAAATTCTATAGGATTTCTCGAATCCTTGAATCATTTGGATATGTCAAATTGCAATTTCACAGGGTCAACTCCGTATTCATTTAGTAATTTTACACATATGCTATATTTAGACCTTTCTAACAATAATTTTGATGGTCAGATACCTTCTTCATTTGCTAATTTTACAAAGCTCTTATATCTTGACCTCTCTTATAATTTTTTGCATGGCCCAATTCCCGAGTCAATCTCTCAACTTGTGAATTTGAAATATCTTTATCTTCATGGTAATAACCTGAGTGGAAAGCTAGATGTGTTTCTTATTCCGAAAAATCTTACTGAGCTTGTATTATCGGCTAACCAATTAACGTTGCTCACCAGTAGCTTCATCAATGATACGCTTCCCAAGTTTGAGTACCTAGACCAGTTGCGGTACTTAAACCTCAGCAACAACTGCATCCAAGGCTCCCTGCCAACATGGATATGGAACATGAGTACACAAACTCTGCTTCGCCTTGACCTTTCTCAAAACTTTATAACCGGCTTTCACCAACCTCTTCCTTTAGTCCTTCCTTGGGATCGACTAGACATTTTAGACCTTAGTTCTAACATGCTGGAAGGATCACTCCCCGTTCCACCACCATCCACCTGGGTTTATAATGTCGCAAACAACAAACTGACCGGGAAGATTCCACTATTGATATGCAATGCAAGTTCTCTTGGTGTCCTGGATTTATCTTATAACAAATTGAGTGATACCATTCCCCAATGCTTGGGCAATTTTTCTGATCTGTTTTTAGTGAATCTTCGAAACAATAAATTACATGGTCCCATTCCTCGAACATTCAAGCATAGAACCCAACTGAGGATGATCAACTTAAGTCAAAACCAATTGCAAGGGACAGTGCCAAAATCGTTGGTCAATTGTTCACTTCTAAAAAGTCTTGATCTTGGGAACAATAACATCAACGATATATTTCCCTTTTGGCTTGGAACACTTCCTGAATTGAAGGTTCTCATTTTGCGATTCAATAGATTCCATGGTTCAATATTAAACCCCAACTCCAGTTTTGCTTTCCCCAAATTGCAGATTCTTGACCTCTCTCACAATGGTTTCACTGGTCAGTTACCTTCCGGTTATTTTCACACATGGACAGCCATGAAAACTATTGATGTCAATCAATCGAAATACCTCTGGAGAGAGGAGAGTATTTATGAAAATTACACTACATACGCAATCACACTGACAAACAAAGGTTTGCCAACAGTGTATGTGTATATCCTAAACAGCTTCACTGCCATTGATCTCTCAAGTAACCGATTTGAAGGAGAGATTCCGGATTCTATTGGGATTCTTAAGGGCCTTCACATGCTCCGCCTTTCCGACAACAATCTCACTGGTCACATTCCATCATCCTTGGGGAATCTAATGCAGCTTGAATCATTAGACATTTCTCAAAATAAGCTCGAGGGAGAGATTCCACAGCAGCTAACCCAACTCACGTTCCTTGAATTCTTCAATGTCTCTAATAATCATCTCACAGGACCTATACCACGAGTGAGCCAATTTAATACATTTGAAAGCAGTTCATACGAGGAGAATTCAGGATTGTGTGGAGACCCTTTGCCAAAGAAATGTGGCAATTCAGAGGCATCACTGCCACCACCACAACCTTCGAACTTCAACCAAGGTGATGATCATTCCTGGTTTGGAATTGATAAAAGTGATTGGATTGTGATATGCATGGGCTATGGCGGTGGGTTAGTAGTCGGGTTCATCATTGGGCACACTCAGACCACAAGGTATCATGATTGGTTTGTCGATACCTTCGGAAGAAACCGAAAGAATCAAAGAAGGAAGAAGAAGAGCGGGCGAAGAAGCTAAATTTGATGAGCTCACCTTCATTCACGGTGACATCAAGAAAATAATTGCAGATCTAGCATGGAGTTTCCACCAGCTGTTATTAGGCCTAGGTTTGTCTTCAATATATCTTTTATATGTTGTGTTTATTTTCTTCTTCACTTGTTTGCATCTGTAGTTTGTCTTCAATATATCTTTTATATGTGTTGTGTTGCGTTTCTTCTTCACTTGTTTGCATGTGTAGTTTGTTCAGTTGGACTCTGTCAAAGTTTTGTTTTTAGATAATTGTTTTTATAATATTTTGGCATAAATTCTTAAGCAGTCGGCTAGTAATTGTTTCTGGATTTTTTAATTTTAATTTCGGTAAAGAGTATTAAGAAGAAAAAATCACTCTACGGGAAAAGGACAAAAAAAAAATAATAATCAATTGGATTCAGACTAATCAAAAGGCTGAGCAAAGACTAGCAATAAATCTCTATTTGAATTTTTTTCTTATTTATTTATTTTATATATAAAATCCCCCTCAAGTAACGGGAGATGCTCAGTTATTTTTTAAAACAAAAAGACCCTATAGGCTATAGCATTATTAGCATTGTTGGTTGGAAAAAGGTTTTTTTTTTTTTTTTAGTTAAAATGGTTGGAAAAAGGTAGGTAAACCTTCCGCTATTGAAAAAGAAAAGAAAAGGAAATTAATGGCAAGGTGTGTCACATAAGTAAGAACCAGTACATTGCAAAAATAAGTTGACGCAAATTTTCTAAAAACACAATACAATGTAGTTTGCTTCTTCTAAGGAAAAGAAAATTCAATAAGTAAGGAGTTGGACTTTTCAGTCCTACCTAAGCGTCATTTTCCCTCCCTTGCCATGGTCTGTAGATGTGGGTAGCAACATATAAAGTTTTTTTAGCAGATGCATTAAATGATAAGCCCAATTTCAACATCTAAACCACACGAACATCTTAAATTCAACCATATAATGCACGCCATGGCTCCCCGCTGTCCCTCGATGTTTTTACTGGGTTCCACATTATCCTCTCTCAAAAAGCTTAATCAAGAGATGCTTGACAGAAGGTCTCCTATCTCATAGATCACCTGGGAAAGAATGCACATAGAATCAGATCTCAGATAAGGATATCGAACAAGCACAGAAACTAATAGGAAAAGAAGAAGAATATTTCTGCTTTAGTTCCACTAAAATATTCAGAGGAATTCAGGACCTTCAGTTGTATGCCTACCATCCATGGAATTCAGGACTTTCAGTTGGCAGCTAAGAAATAATGTGTTCACTAGATGAATGCGGATGCTTAGAGGATTTAAAAAGAAAAAAAGGGAAATAGACTACCGATTAGAGCTACAGTTAGAGCCCTCAAGCATTACGTGTTGTTCCTGTTCCATTGATGTGGCTGTTTTGAGGATCTTAGGTATGGTAATAGGCTTGTTTCTTGACAGCCAATTGAGGGTCACGAATTCAGGTAGGTGTTCGAGGTTTTTGTCCCACGCCGGATCCAGATGGGGAGAGTATTGAATATATATGAGCAGTGTTATCAAAGGCCTAAGGTGCGCTATGGTGCTAGAGGTCTTTGGAGCCTATGCGTCGGGCAGGCACAAGGTGAGACGAGCGTCTGAATGAAACAGGTGCACAATTGAAAAATTAGATTGCTATTAAAGTATAATCATATTTCCATATTAAAGGCGCAAGTGTTGCGTCTATAGCCTAGGTGCACCTTTACCAATACTGCATATAAGTGGATATGCAGCACAACCCAACAACTTGAACTTTTTGAGTCAAAAAGCAAGCACCCGACACGTTACAGTTGGTATCAGTCTATATATTAGAGCGAGATTCAGTTCTTAATCCAGTGTCACACCAAGTATTCGGTTGGAAGGTGTCCAGGTTTGCCTCTGGTAGGCAAGGTCGTCCGACTGCCCCCCCCCCAAAACCCCAGAAAAAAAAAAAATTCATTACTATGGTAAATTTTAGCCCGGCCAAAAAAAAAAAAAAATATTATTTCTAGTATTAACCCACCAAAAAAATTATTACTAGTATTAGCCCACCCCATTAATAATTTCTAGATCTACCCTTGGTAATGAAGGCGTTGCAAATTCGGGTGGAGGAGAATGTTCGAGGATATTGGGTATATATGGGCATACCAATCATGCCTATAGCAAAAGCTACTATCTTTCTCTCTATTTTGTTTACAACCCGTTTAACTAAAGGTGTCATGTTCGTGTTAAAAATGATCCGTTTAGCTAAACGTGTTGAACAAACACATCGTGTCTATGTCAAAAATGACTAAAACGTGCCTTGTCGTGTCGTGTCAAGTCTTGATCTATTTATTAAACGAGTTACACGTGTTGTGTCGTGTTATTCGTGTAATAATATTGTCGTGTTCATGTCAAGATTTTTTTGACAAGAATAATGATCGTGTTGTATTCGTGTCGACCCATATAATATAATACCTATGCTCTGACACGATACGAACATGACTTGCCAACACGAATTGCCACCCCTAGCGGCGAGAGTCGTCGGCAGCAGCGAATTCCCAATGGAATTAAAGAGACAGAAGGGTTAGAGAGTTTTAGGTTAAGAGATATATCAAGCACAACCGTTGATGGATAAAATAGAAGGTTAGGATTTAATCTGAAATTTAAAATTAAACAAAAATTGTATAATATATGAAAATCGAGTTTGGGTTAAGCTCGGGTTAGAAAGGTTTCAACGCAAAATGGGCTCGAGCTGAAAACTTCCAACCCAATCAAAACTGGAATTGGTAAAATTAAAAACCCAACCTGAAAATTTCGAGTTGGGTTCGGGTTGGGTCACATTGAACCCGCCCAACTTGCACCCCTACATGTAACTCATTTTAAATTATCTATGAATCGGAGGGACCAGAGATGGAAAGGAATCTTCTATTGGGGCTTTAAAATTTCTTACTATTAACTCTCTTTTCGGTTAGGTAATGGAGAGAAATTGTAAATCTTTAAAGGAGAAAGTTGATTTTATGGGCTCCTTGGGTCCCTCTGGGCCTTTGTGTAGTTTTTGAGATGCGTTTCCCTTTTTGAATGCTTTCTAATACATTATTACTTACCAAAAAACTATGAAGATAAGAATAGATCAAGAAAGGATCCTATAGCATTAGTAGTGGATTAGGAATGATTTCCACAATTGTGAGGGGCATGCTCGAGGGTGCCTAAACCTTCATTCCTGTTACTAACTTTGTTCTTAGAGGGTACATGCGTATAAAAACTTTTAACAGGAAAAATTAATGGAACACTCGCCAAAAATAAGAAAAAAATGGAATACCAAAACATGAAGTCGAATATATTGACCTTAAAGTTCATAGCAGAACATGAAGTGACAAAAGACACTGATATTTTAAGTACAAACAGAAATGCCCAAATTTGATATTATTAATCCGGACAACAGTAATATAGGAGAGGAGAGTGGTGAGGGGGACTTCATAGTGCAAATTCATGTACTGAACATTTAATCAATCATAAGATCCATATCTTTGATCATAGTTCCAAATATTTCTTAGCAACATTAACAAGAATAATTGCCTTAATTGAAAATTATTGAAGAAAAAATACCTCGAGCTCTTCTGCTAAAGCTTTACTCACTGTTACATAGACTCTTCTAAAGTAGTGAAGTACCCGTGTCGGACACATCCCTCGGACATTGGTATGGGATATGTGTCCGGCATTTTTGGTTGGACTTGTAATTAAAATGCATAGCCAATCATTCAATTACATTATATTATTACTTTCAAAATGAGTTAGATTTCTACAGTGAACATTATATTAGATAAAAACATCACTTTACTTTATAAAATAAAATAATTAATAAAATGAATATTTAGCCGTGTCCATGTGTCCTTCTGTTTGGAGATTTGACATGTCCGACTTATGGATACATACCCGTGTCCGACACCCGTACCCGAGTCCATGTAACATAGGCTTTACTAGATGGGTGTTGACCACTTTGCCCAATAAGGAAAAAAGTTGGCAGCTTAAAGACACGGATCAACTGAAGATAGCAAGCCACTGATTCGTGATGAATCTGCAGCGTCGATGGTGGCTTTTGTGGTTTGGCTAACATGACCTGTGTTACATCCGTTTCTAGACCTATTTGTATGCCATATAGTGAAACTTTGTTGTTCGTCAATGAACTTTTACCTTCCCACTTTAGCTTTGATGCTGCCACAATGAATGGGAACACTACTGTGGGTATGGTTGATGAATCTTCCACTGTTATTGATGCCCGAACTTCATTAACAACACATGCCAAAATTGGGGGTTCATAATTTTGAAGAAGCAACAGAGACACCTGGAAAAGAAATCAAAAAAGAAAAAGTATCAAATATCCCACTACGCCATTCATGTGGTTGAGCTAGAAGTTCTTATCGATATGTAGAATAACGAGGGAAGAGGAAAAAGGGCAAGCTGACCAAAATTTGGACATAGTCATTATCATTTTCCTAGATCTTTGGAAACAAGAAACTAAAACAGCAAGAATATCACATACCGGAGTAACCGGACCTTGTAAATTCCTAAGATAACATATCAAAACCCATTCTGTGCTTCTATCCGTTTAACGGTTTTAAATTCCCAATATCTTTTGCAAAGGAATTGTTTATGTAACAGGTAATGCTCAAGACAAATCAAACTTAAATTGGAAGTATCCATGCTTTGCACCTGATCAAAGTTGTAATGAGCAAGACAGAAGGATAAATCATGCATTGGATTCCAACTAGAGCCCAAGGCCTTTCTAAAAGAATGGTAGTGCACACATACAGGATGTCTTTGGCGCCTCTCCATTGTCATACCCGCATATAAGTGACGGTCTTCCTCTAAAGCATCCAACAGCTGGCATGCTGATTAGGTTTTTTTTTCCTTCCTGACATGCTGATTAGGTTTTTTTTTTTTTTTTTTGGTTTTCTTTTCCTTCCTGACATGCTGATTAGTTTGGTAAATCAAAATTTTCTATTTATCATAGCTTCATTACCAACAACCATACCTCCCTCACTTTCATAACGTCACAGATCTCCTTGAATTCCAATTACAAATTAAGTTGGTACAAAAACGAATTAAACTCATTAGCTGCCTAATTGAACCGCGATAACAAAATTCCACATTGTCTATCTGTTAAGCAATCTCAAGACCATAAAATGCTCCAAACTTATTGGGATTTCCAATCACCATGTGATGCGATCTTCCCAAA